GAGAACATTAAACACGCTTAAATTATCCGCCCGAAAATTCTGTGATTCACTTCTCCGTCTCATAAATATCGCTTAATTACCTAAACGCGAAATATAAACGCCAATCATTAAGAGAACTGCAGCGTAAATTCCGACGATATACACGGCTCGCTCTTTACGACTGTTTGCTATTGTTGCGACACACGGTTTTATCACACAAACGAAAATCGATAAGTGAAATTCCTTCCAATGCACTTGGTCCTCAACATCGCGATATTGTATCGACACATAAAGCGAACTATTATAATGCGAATTCCCAAGGCGAGCGCGCTTTTCGAGAAAATGTTTCCGCATTAACTCTCACGTGGTGAAACATGAGCCGCGAATTGAAACAAACGACACGTCATAGAAAGAACTGTTCGACCTATAGCTACGCTGGGAGCGATCGGCCATCAATCTTCTTCCCATTTCCAATATTGCCGAATTAATTTCGCCCAGTATATGAGCCGCTCCAGTTTATTATGCTACATTTCATTTCATTTCATTCAGCTTTAGTATTTCGACTTTGGAACATTAAAATGTATTTCCCCCTTATTTTATCACAATTTCTCTTTCCTTCTCTCATTTTCTTTAAAATTATACTATAATATTATAATTCAATTTATTATATTACTTTCAAAAATACATTTATATCATAATTTCATAATAATTTATATTATTTTATATAAAATATGTAAATTCTTTTGACAATCACTAACTTTGATGAAACATTAATTCAATTAATATTTCTCTCTTATTCTCTCTCTCTCTCTCTCTCTCTTTCTCTCTCTCTCTCTCTCTCCCCTGTTTCTCGCTCTCGTCCTCCTAATTTTATAAAAATTAATACAAGTTCTGCCGAGAGACAAAACTTGTACTGAAGCTCATTCGCGACGTCAAGTAAGAAGTAATATTAAACTCTCGAATATTGTCAACGCGCATTTATAATCATTATCTAATTAATTAATTAGAACTAATGTCGACTTGAGCCCGGTATTCCATTGCGGTTTACCAGCATAAGCTCCAGTTTAAATGGAGTATAGTTGCGTCTTATCGCCCGCATGTTCGCATAATCTAATTAAATTACAGCGGAGAGAGGTACTGATGGCCCGCGCACGGATTATCCATACACATACACACATACACGAACACACTTTCTTTGAAATGCATCGCTTTGTGACGGGGAATAAATTCGAGTGCGCCATAGGCGATTTGTATTCGACGGCGAAACGTTTCCGGCACTCATTACACATCGTTGCTGGTCGAAAAATGGCGTGTGTAATATCACCGTGATGGTGCACACGAAACTAAATGAAATTGTCGTCGCAAAGAATGCCACCGAAGATACCGCCACACCGGCATGGAATGCTCACGAGTATTGCTTCCTTCCGCAAAGTATTTCAACGACATGCGCGCCGGCAGGATGCACTCGCGTGCAGCATCCAAGCCGAGACACGCAAAAGTTTAAGCTACGCGCGTGTTCTCTCATAATCTACACGATCAGATGATTTCCCTACAGAGAAAAACACAGAGATAGAGTCAGAGAGAAAGAGAGAAAAGTGTATTTATTACATTCCAATTGAAGTAAAATCTCTTTAAACATGTAGTGATGTTCGTGAATGTTCTATATAATAATACAATATGTTGCGAGTTGTAACGACGGTATTCGACGTTATGTTACAAATACAATAGCGAGCTAAAATGGGACAAGATCAAAGGCGAAGGTAACAATAAACGTAAAAACAGAAGTAATGCAATTTGCAAAACAATTTACGAAGCAAAATCTGCCGGAATGTGAGGATAAAGTAACCATAAATTGTGGTACGAATGTATTGTGCGATTTTTTAAATTTTTTGCAGAGATATGTATGAAGTTTGCGTTTTTGAACGACCAGAATAAATCAAATTCTTTAATTGAGGATAAGGGGACGAGAAAGAGAGAAAGAGAGAGGAGAGAGAGAGAGAGAGAGAGAGAGGGAGGGAGGGAGGAGAGAGCGTGGTGTATCAGCGGGGTGTTGGAGATTCAGGTATACGTCGTGACATACGGGCGCATTTATTGCCCGAACGCAGCAACGTTATTACTCCAAAAAGTGGGCCAATGTTGCTCCGATTAAAATCGAACTGATTAAAGTCGAGCTCTCAGAAATTGAGTTTCGCAATTGGCTGAACGGAAGCTTTTGCACTTTAATAAACGCACTCCGCAGGAGTGCATTATTTTCTTCATCATAACGCTGACGTATTATGTCGTCGTAAGATGCGTACACTTTGCAAACTGCGGGAACAAGAGCTTAGTTACCTTGCCTTACAGTTTTATAGACCAGTCCCTATACTACCTCTTGACCCCGGCACTTTGGCTGCAACAACAATGGCGTAGTAAGCCACAAAGGCTAATAAAGTAAATTCATCCTACCAGGATAAATTGAGAGCGTTGGCTAAGAGAAGAATGCACGAGCGAAGGCTCGGCTTTGAGAAAAATGTTTTTGAGAAAAATTCCAAGTTTCTGATTTATCCTCCTCATGCAAAATGAGATGGGTAAATTACATACGCTCCATTAGCAGGTAATGCTTGTAATTACTTCGAAGATATATTTGAACAAGAAAAAAATTCCAGAAAAATAATGATAGATAACTTGAAAATCTTAAGCCTTATATAATTACTGCGTCAACTTCTGGCCAGTTTTTTTTTAAGAAAAGAATTAATGGGAGTTGAGAAAATGCATTATGCTTAACCTGTGTGTATGTGTATGTGTACATAACGGCTTAATTATATTAAGATGGCAATTTGTTCGAAAAGGGGAAGGAAATAATTAAATTATTCGGTTTGATGAATGGCAATTTGTACTATAATGCTTCATGCTGAGATACTTACATTGTTGCTACAAGAGTGATAGCCCGCAATGTTGTTCTTGTGCATGTAAGACGTGAACTATCATATGTTTACGCATCAGAGATTTCGTATTAAGACAAAGTTTCTTGATTAGCGTGATAATTTCCAAGCTAAGCTGTTGGATTTACAAAGTTTATAATACGTCAAATAACGTTAAATTGTATGACACTTCGAAAAGTTTTTCACATAGCTGTTTCGCAATAAAACAATTGTCTAAATAATATTATAAATAATTCCTAAATGTGTTTTGTATATAAAATACATTGCAAACACTTAAATACTGTAAATATACATTATAAATGTGTCTTTGCAAATATAATTATATTCTTAAGCGTATTTGGATTTGCATATCGAGAAATTAATCCACGATGAATATTTCTTAATATTATTGCATTTCTGAATAAATAACGGATTAAATGTACGTCAAAGAAAATGATATTATCGTATTAAATTAAAGAGATTATTCAGCATAATAATTAGTTAATAAAGGAATATACGCAGCCATAAATATCAAAGAGTAATTAGACTTATACTCATCCATATGCATGATTTCACCGTCGTCATATTGTGCAACTTTGTATTATCCATCGTTCCCGTTAGACCACAGAAAAGTTGAAATGTTTTACATCGAAATGGACTACCGGGTGCATAACTTTGACGCGCGTCGCATATCTGATTGAAAATTCCAAAGTTGTGAAATTAGCGCTACGAGTTTGTTCATTAACCGTCACAATTTGCGGCGCAGTTGGCAAAGTTATCAATGATGTCCATCGAAAATACCCGCCGCCTCGTACATACCCCATTGGTTCTCTGCTCTCGTCATACATTCGGCACTAAGAACACACAGTGTTACGGCGGAAAATAATCTCATCTCGTCCCAATTCAGTTTCAATCTCTCTGCTCGGAAGCGTAATTAATTATAGATTAATATTCGTAATTGATTCAATCTGATTTGCATTTCGACAACCCCAATTCGCGACGAATTATTGTTTCAAGAATTGATCGTTATTTAGCATTCGCGAAGTTTTTAATTCTCTTATTTACCGCGTTTGTTACCGCAATCAATCAGAGTTGCAGATTTTTGTTAAAATATCAACCTAGGTATAGCCAAGTGTCGGAATAATTTTCGGGCCGTCGACAGCTTCCACAATTCGAGTGCTTCTCTTTAAAAAGCACAAAGCGCGGAAAAGTTTATTCTGCACTTCCACCTAATCTTCCCGGGAGAAATCGCCCGGTTTCTTCCATCGCGCTATAAATCTCCCGCTACCTCCCCCGCGAAATGGTGAAAAATTACCCTCATTCTTATTCACGAGCGCCACTTTGCAGACTAATGATTCCGTAACCGGTTAGGCGGTTCAAAAATGTGAAATAAACTTGTGTACCGAGGGGCGTGATAAAATGTAAATTCGTACAACTGGTTGCAATCAATATTCGAAACGTGTTATCCATCTCGCTTGTTTACGAAGTTAGCCCCGTCTTCTACACTGAAGTTTCGTGATATTAATGTCATTTATTTTGAATTGAACAATACGTGTACACAAATATTCTTTTATTAATTAAATAATTTGCACATAAAATTGCATGCTTCGCAGGAAATGTGTCAGTGCATAAAAAAACATAATAAAAATGTTCTCTAGTAAAATTATGTTTTAAAAAAATATATTATATACGATATACGCATATATATATATATATATATATATATATAAAGATTATTTTGTAAAAAAACAAAATTAAATTTAAAGAAGGAGATTTTATGATGGCTTTAGAGATTTACGGTGAAGGCGAGAGTTGGATCAAATTTTGAAGGTTATTTTAACCTAGATTGCAACCGAATCCCTACAATCCCCATTGTCTAAAAATGTCTGAAAGTGAGAATATAAAACGACTATCACGTGTGAGCTGAAAATGAATAAAGTTAAGTGAGAAGAAAAAGAATCCTAAATCGCATTAAAATCTAAGCTGCTCTAAACCAAATTTCACTTTTTAAACGACAGTGTCCGTTACACGATTTAATCCTGATTTTATATTATAGATTTATTCTAATGTAACTGTTAATTATTTACTGACTAATGTAATGTTAACTTTTTTTTATTTCAGATTCTATTGGGACCTCTGCATGCTCCTCCTACTGGTAGCTAATCTGATAATTCTGCCAGTCGCCATTAGTTTTTTCAATGACGACCTAAGCACTAGATGGATAGCCTTCAACTGCCTTTCCGACACGATATTCCTTATAGACATCGTCGTCAACTTCAGGACGGGTGAGTGTCATTCGATCGATCAATTTGCTTTGTTATTAGCTCCCCGTTATAATAAATTCTCGTCGCTTAATCCTTTATCACGAATGGAATCCGTGATAAAAAGCTTTAAATTCGCAAACGTGTGCCGCTGAGAAATTCCAGTTCTAATCTCTCATATCAACAGGATTTGTGTGCACGAACAGCTGCGTTGTCGCAGCAACAGCTCCGTATCTCTAACGATATTAGTAACGTCTTTTGAAACTTTCATGTAATACCATTAGGAGTTGCTTATATCATAGTGTCTCCGCGACATGCAAAATTTCACTTGACATTGTGTTTTGCATCATTACCTCAATAAACGGCGTAAATTACAGTCTGCCGACAAATAAAGCATTTACACACATTGAAATATTTTGCAAAAACTTCTTTTTATACGTAACACGTAATATACATACTTCGCAAGACTTAATAAAAAACAAATATTTATAAAGTTAGCTCAGATAAAAAATTAAAATTAAATTTACCTCATCGTTTTCTTCTCTCTCTCTCTCTCTCTCTCTCCCTTACGTGAAATTTTTCTTTCTAATATTATTGCTCGATATCTTGACTTATACAACCGCGCATTTAGAAATACAAATTTTAAAGATCGCAAAATTACCGCGCCGATGACAACAAATAATTTTTCTCTTTCCTAAGAACAAGACCAGTGGAATTTTCCCCTTAAGAATTCCTCTAATTTTTTTTATCCAAGATTTCAAGAGACGTTTACTACTTTAAATTATTTTCTTTCATGCGACTTATCCTTGCTACATTCCCGAGTAGAAGATACAAGCGAAAACAAATGCAATGTGAGACAGATCATCTTGTACTCTTGCTGGACTCGACTATGCACAATGATAGTATTGTTACGGGGGTAGAGAACACTCCTAACTCCTTGACATTTCCTTATTACCCGGGGATTAATTTGAAACGTGTTTGAGTCGGTTCCATAAACGTAGAATTGGGTCACGATGAAAATCATTATATCATATTGCACGTCGCTTTCACGTTGATTCGCGCAGTGATTAAAAATTTCCGAGCCGTCTCACGTCTCGTTCGAATATTAACACAGGGAAACGGTGATAGTCTTAATAATTATTTCGTTTTTTTTTACTTGCCGCTATAACGGATTCAGCGATTGCTTTTTCCTCGTTTCCATTTCCAATTGTTAAATTACGCATTACCTATATGTATATAATGGATGCATCAGATGCGCGAGAACGACGACGGTGACAAACTGTCGAATCGATGGCAAGTCGCCAGAGCGTGAGGTAATAGCATTAACGTTTTTCCAGCGGTTTGAGCTTCGCAGGCTTTGGAAAATCATTGACGTGAAAAACACCGGAGTAAAATTCTTTCGTTGCAGGTATAATGCAGCAGGATAATGCCGAACAGGTGATACTGGATCCGAAGTTAATCGCGAAACACTACCTCAGGACTTGGTTCTTTCTCGACCTCATCTCCTCCATACCATTAGACTACATTTTTCTCATATTTAATCAAGTAAGTATGTCCTACACCGTCCTGCAGTAACCTTACACGCATGCCTTGTTAAGTTGTAAGTTATTATCCCACTATTCTCCATGAAAAATCATCAAAATAACTTTTTAATTTTCTTGCCAAATAAAATGCATTTTTCATTATATATATATAAAATTATTGAAAAAATTTTTATTTTTTCTTTAATATTTATTTTTTTTTTGTATAATTTTTCTGAAATACAATTATGAAATTGAAAACAAATAAAATAATAAAATTTTAAAAAGACAAAAATAGAATAACATTACAAGTAAAAAATTAAAATTCTTATGAAACAGATATAAAATAAATATAACTTATAACACGTATTATTACTTTATATAAATATAGGATCAATGAGAGAAAATGAAAGACTTTTCTGAGTAACTAAATAATTCTGGATATTTGAATACTTGTTTACGGATTGGCAAGAAATAAATATTAAAACAAAGAAATTCACAAGTTTCAGGACTTCAGCGAGTCCTTCCAGATCCTGCATGCTGGACGTGCTCTCAGGATTCTCAGGCTTGCAAAACTATTGTCACTCGTTAGGTTACTACGTTTGTCAAGACTGGTGCGGTATGTCTCGCAATGGGAAGAGGTCTATGTGAGTGTTCCGCTACTTACTATTCAGCACTGTTCTCATTTTGTAATCATACGATACGTGTAGTTCGTGTATAATTTACGTATACATATATCTTAGAAAAAAAAGAGAAAAGGAGAAGCGTTTGGTGATCTTTAAACGGATTCAGGAAGCTGACGAACGATCTTCCCTCCTACGAAACTGCCGCTTTTCCTGTAGACAATGAGGCTTAATGAGAGCTAATTAGTGTCGATTGTCAGTTTTTTGAATCTGTCAATTGCAGAAATCACCTTCCGCACTTTACGCGGGATATTAAATAATTATGTCTATGCCTGTGATATATGGTCGCTTTAGAGAATCTGAGGAGGTAAAGGAAACAAGTCAGCCCACTTTCGTACCCTTATATCGTGGATATTTCGTACTTAGCCGCAGGTGACTCACTGAGTTACCAAGCGAAGTTCTCACGTCAGTGGTGGATTCCGTCTGTTCGACAGGCAAATCTTTTTTTTTTAATCGAATTTTCTCGAATTTGCACTCACTAACAGAGAGTTTCCGTTCTCACTACGTACAAAGAGTTTCTCCCTTTCATATAAGAATTTCGTCCAACCAAGTTCAGTCGATCGAATATGTATGTTACATAAAACCTTTTCTAGGTGTATGCAGCAAAAGTAGGATACGCTTCTTGACAAAATTACTTTTTCGTCGTTGTTGCAAAAGTCTCAGTCCACCACTGCGGGGAATCTTTTCGAACTGGGCAGATGATTAGATTATGTTTCGCTTTCCGTTGCTGAACATCTAATAAGTGTCCCTTCTTCCCCCCGCCCGCCCCCGCGACTCTACTCAATATATCCCGTGATACCACCCCCGCCGCCCCGCCCCGAAACTTCCACTCTACAAGAAAGTCTCCACAAAAATCCCTCCGTCTGTCTTTCTCTCTCGCGATAACAATAATAATCGTGAATTAGAATCAGCTGTTCTCCCTTGCTCCATCATCTCACCGCACCGAGAGGGGCGTAAACAGATAATAGCCATGACACAATGGAGGTAATACCTCTGACAAACAATTCGCGGAGACACAAGCGGAGAGATAGCGTGACGAGAAAAAAATACAAACAAATAGAGGAAAAAGGATACACGTGCACGCGATTGCGTGTCCCGCAGTACCATCGTTAATACACCGTGTAACTCGATACAAAGAGAATCCCGTGACACAATACGACAACATTTTATTATATTTTTCATTGTCGTTCCGATGCACCGATAATTGTTGTTGTTCGCTATTCGTATATATATATATCTTTTACTCGTTTACTTTTTTGCTCTCGTTTTAACGCACATGTCGATTTTGTGCACGTGATGTAATGGTACGACGATTCGTCGACGGGTAAGTAACTGCCCTCCCAAAGCAAGTGTACATACCACTCGATAATCGAAGCGACGCGTGAACGTATTTGCCCGCCCCTTTCGTTCGACCGGAGAGTCATTTCGAAAGATAAAAGAAAGAACAGAATGAGTAAAAGGTAAAATAAAACAACAAGATCGAACTGGTTTCTATCAATGTCTTCCGACAAACTCGCGTCTCTATTTCACTTTGCTACGAATATATCTCGCTATTTCTTCACAAAACGTTCAACAAATCAAACAAAATACTGCGACGTGACTGTTGCATTTACAATAGAATAATAGAAGAAGAAGATTATAAAACGTTAACATTATCACATCGATAAGAAATTGAGTCGGATAACGGTAATGATAATATCCATAATTTCGTGTACATGATGTGTATATATACATATCTCGCTAGGTCGATTACACGGCGAATGAGCTGCAAGCGCATTAATTGTTTGCGTGAGTTAATTGAGTTGAGAAATTATTGCTACCTTTCGGTGCTTCCGCACATCGGCGATTGTGTGAGATAACGTTGATTTTTTCTTTTTTTTTTTTGTTACTTGTTACCTCGCGCGCTGTTAGCGTAAAAAATCGTGGCGCAGCGAGGAGACCAACGAATCAATCAGGCTTTTCGTCCAATCGAGATAGCAGTCTGTCATTCGCTGAAAATCTTGTTACGCTTGCCTTGAAACGTTACTATTGCCTCCCTCTGCTTTTTTCCTCTCTGTTCTGTTCTGTTGTACTAGATATACGCTGTGAAAAAAAAAAAAAAAAGAGAAACGTATGCACGAGAGGAAAGCTGCGTTCCAAGTGCAATAGATTTTTCATATCGCGCCGGTATTGATATCGTTTGAACAAAATTCACTACCGTCAAATAATAAGCGAAGAAACGCGGGAGACGAAATGCACCGTCGAATACAATGATATCGAGAATCGCTATCCCGCATTCCCTTTCTTCGTCGAATGAATCACGATAAATTCGTTTTCGTTGAATTGCGGATAAAATGTTTTCTCAATTAATGCAGAAATCAAATCAATTCTCGTACGAGACCGCTTTCGAGACCGAGCTTCGGGTGAAAATATCAATGGACTTCGAAAGTGCGGCCAACGACAACGAGAGTTAGTAATTCTGGTGGCGCCACTATTCATAGAACGCTAATAGAGGGATAATTGAAAATATATGGGATCCATTTAAGATGAAACTTAGCCAAATATTTTACATTCATCTTCTCCTCTGCGTTGTTATACTGTTGTCGTTGTCGCACTTATTTTCGAAGCGCCAAGAATAAACTTCCAACGTGTACGTGGTGTTATACATACCTATCGCGCCGAGAAAATGCAAGCGCGCCTAGTTAATTTACAAATCATTTCGCATGATTAGTCAATCAAAGTTGATTATATTATCATCTCTTCAATAAGAATGGGCAGACTATAAAAATATATCGGTTGCTATATAATATTTGTAGTGAAATTGTTTTAATTTAATTTACTAATGGCTAATTATTGGCTAATTCGTCGTTATTTTATATACTTTGCCATGTAGAAAAGTGCAATTTGATATAAAAAAAACTGTAAGTGCAAAATAAATAAACGAAAACTTTGTTTCGCATAATGCATATCTCTGCAGTCATTCAAAAAATATTAATGTGTAAAAAAAAAACAGCGCTTACAAATTTTTTTATTTCAAGTTCTCACATATATTATCAGACACAACCGACACTGATGTATAACAAAACGGACGGTTTTCTTTCACAACACACGTACACGTATACACAATTGTTATGTTTATCCCTCCATCGTTTCGATACGAGAGCCGATAATTCAACCATTAGACTGTAGCAGCAGAAAAATCCCCATAACGAGTGGATATGAACACACACGACACACATCACTGAAAACGAAGACACACCACAAGCGAGCGTGAGATTATCACGTCGCTGTACACACAAAACATCGTATCTCGCGGGGATCCTGTAATTCATCGTCTCATCGAAAAATATTCTCGCCCTATCACACACTCACCCACTTACTTTCTTAAGTAATCAAGTGCCGTGAGAGATAATATAACGCGCGATCTCCCTATATTCCCCGAATACATAATTTTCCATACCGTCACTGCCTTATAAAAACCTGTACATCCACACGCACACGCGCACACACATGCATACACTGACACGCACAGAAATCTTTTCCATCTCAATTCCCCCCGACATACAAACATAAGTACAAACAACAAAAGAAAACAATATATACAAATCGACTACTAGGCGTACTGCGAGAACACGTTTCCGAATGGGTTTGCAGATCCCCCTTTATCAACAGCCGGAGAGGCACTACGAGCGTCGGGCGACACCGCCCCAACCAGACCGAACCAGCAAGGTGTGCCTGCCTAGTTACCCTGAAACCAAGGCCAATTGCCCTTACTTGATTCAAGCGTTCGTTAACACAAAACTCAATGTGTTTCTACGTATAAATATATCTATATACGCTAGATCATTATTATTATTATTATTATTATTATTCACTACTGTCGTTTCTTTCGTTGTTTACTCATTGATTACGATTATTCTGATTACCGTTGCCGTTTTCGTTTGTGGTCACCTGTCTCTCGGCTTTTTTTTTCTTTTCCTTAAATTTCGTTTTGAGTTTTCATAGAGAACGTGCATAGTCTTGTCGTGTAATTTACAGTCTCCGGTACGAGAAGTTATTTTTCCTTTTTTCTTTTTTTTTACACATATAACACACCCGACATACTTAGATCCAGTTTGTGAATTGTAGCAGAGCCGATCAAGAGCTTCGAACGTTGTGTGTCGGGAAGTTCCATGTTCCGTAGAGTTGCCGAGCGTAGACCGAGCGGGGAAAAGACTATGCTTACTATTTGATCAAATGTTAAAAGCCTATTACGGACTTACGGAGTAATTAAACTCCTTCCTTGCCGCCGCAACTTCGTCGCGAAATCTGAAGCACTACAAACTCGAACGGGCAAAGCGGAAAGAGTCTTATACGTATTAATTGATCACACGTACCATTGAGTAAGATAACGGAATTATTGAAACGGTCATTCCGGTTGAAATTAATTGAAGAGTGATATATAGATGTAAAATTCGATATTTCATGCAGAACTAAACGTATAGCTGTATATTCATGGAAGTCAAATAGCTCTCTCACTGCATAGAACATTTCAACAAGCTCTTGATCAGTCTTGCCCTTAGTCCCGTAGTCCTGGCGATGCGACGTGTGACATGGATCACAGATTAGAAGATGCGATATTAGCTGAGAAGAATCCAGTATGTATTGATCGATGGAGAATGACAATGCTTGCAGTATTAAATATATACCTTAGTGACGATGTTTTTTTTCTATAACTATATATATATATACATATATTGTTGGAAATCCATGTTTCACCGGACTAGCTGATTCCTCGCCAAAGTTTCTTGAGAACGGTTTTTTGGTATGAGATGCTACCTTGTTTTTGTCGGGTTTTGTTGGAAAGTTCCGTTCTGCTAGGTACTAACATGAGTTTGAGTTTACGAATATAGTCATTGTCGAACTGGTCGTGTCGAATATTCGATCGCGCGCGATCGCAGGAACGGCCCCCGGCCGTTCGTGCCCGATCGCCGCCGCGTTGAAAAAAAAACACGTTTCGAATTTCTCGGCTCTCGATTATCGCCGGCCTCATAAGCCGCATAAACTTTATTGGCCTGATACGACATAGATGCGCATGTACATTTATGAGTCAATAGCGATTTATCGACGTTCTTTCAGCGACGGTCTGCATAATCTAGATACGTGTGCATGTAACTGTATACTGATAGTATATCTATATATACATTTCCGGATGCACCATTTTTTGACAATGGTAGCGCATGAGGTGACGGTGACGATGAAGAGCCGAGAATTCGTTTGTCGTGGATCTTTGCCGCCGCGTCCAATTGGCGCGTCATAAAACAGGAGTAGTCTAATAAAAAAGATTCTTGCGCACAACGTGACAATACGAGAGAGTCAGCCCGATGAAGAATTTCCGCGAGTTATTCGACACGAACCGCTCAACAGACGAGAAAACGTTGGTTGGTCTAACCGTAGGTCTGCCTGTGAGTGTTAGGTGTTAATTAACCTTATCTGTCCAAAATTCTTGGCAATGTGCCCGTGTTCAGTGTGTGTTCCCAGTTTTATTTATTCCCAACAATTTACTCCTCATCCCTTATTCCGCCTTCCTCTCCCCCCCCCCTCCCCCGTGATAAATTTCTAAGGAGCACCCCACAGTCCCGCCGATTATTTCGACTCCCCCTCTCCCCTCTCGTTCGCGTTCCGTTCTGATTGCCTGTTGTTTCGTGTTGTCTAGATATGCCTGATTTTACGAGGAGGAAGCGATTCCGATTTCGTTTCTTTTTGTTTCATTTTGACATTTTACTTCCGCCAGGACGGAGAGTACAAATTACGCAGACGCCGTCGGTACTTTCCTCTGCCCACGTATGTATCCGTATTATCATATTTTTGTTCGTTTGTTCTCTCTTTTTCTCTCTCTCTCTCTCTCTTTTCTCTCAGGAGCACGTTTTTATATTATAATATTATATTACCGACGTGTATTTTCCAGCGTTCTTTTTCCAATGTAGACGGTCGTTAGGTATCCACCCTGGGTATCTCTTTTACACGTACGACAGGCGAGCGAGGGAAGTACGCGGAGAAGCGCGTGCGATCCTTTAATTGTCTCGCCACCCGATATACACACGTAACGGATATGACGTTTCCTCTCTTTCGCGTGCGTCTTTCGCGTCTCCGCTCTTGTCTTGAGAATTGCTGCTCCTCTGCGCGATCGCAACGGCGAATCCGCAATGACGCAGTCTCGTTCCGGCTCGATTGTGCAACGAGAGGAAAATTTTCCACGAGAGAGAGATGCTTCTTACGTGTTGATTTCTGAGAAAGCGGAGCGTAACATTTTCTGGATATATGTGTGTGTACATATATTGTACATATATGTACATATATGTATATATGTTACATACGTCACAATGTACTGTCATTCACGTGTACATTTCGTTTTTCACGAAGAGAGACAGGAAATAAGGAGAGAACAGTCGATTAATCGCGCAGACTCGATCTAAAAGAGACGATTCTTGTTCTTTATTTCTCTTCTTTCATCGCACAGTATTTTCCGTATTGTTCGCCGAACGAAATTTTTCACGCAATTGGATTTGACAGATTTAAACAAACGACGCGAACGTCAATCTAAAAGATTTAAGTTATGACTGCTTTGGTACACCAAAGCTTGTCACATTTATTTGTTAAAATAACAAGGCATTAAATAAAGAGAAAGATAGTGAAAGAGCTTCATTACATTTACATTATTTTAAGTCAAAGCCAATTTAATTCTAAAAATTTCCCAATTTTCGTTTCTCCTAGTTATTTTGTTTTCAGTTAAATATTTTTAACATTAAAATATATAAAAAAATAAATACATAATGCATAAAGATGGAAAATCATGTTCGAACAGATAAGGTAAAAAAGACAAATCGATAAAACGGATAATAGGATGATCGCAAATTTTCTGCATTATTTATTTAATACTGAATTTTCGTTATATGATTTGCGTCAATTCTGTGTTCTCCATTAAACAGCAATATCCTGCATATTATACAAATGTGACTTGCAGATTATGTCACCAAATATTTCAGAGAGAGACAAACAATTCCTTCATATGCGTGCATACGCCTTCGAATTTAATAAATCAACAACGTGCTCCAAAGTTGTTGACGATCCCCTCGCTCTTATTAATTAATTAATTAATTAACTGAAAAAAAAGTAACAGCAAAACGCAGTGCTCTTTGTAACGAGTGCAAAAGCTTTCTGCCCGTGGCACGTACATCCAGTTTCCCTTTACATCGTAATTAAATCAGATAACAAACACACGAGTGCCTTTGTGAGCACGCACATTAGAGTTAAACAGCCGCACAGTAGCAAACCGCCGCGATAATGGTCGGGGCTGGGTTGCATTCAGCGTGGCAAATTAAAACGTACTCGCGTGTGTACGCACATTAAGAGACGATAAATCATAGCCGTCATGCAGAAACGCGCGATTGTACGTCCACCGCGTGATTTTCGCGGTGCGCAACTCGATTGGCGTGGCGCAAAATCGCGCGTTTCTCGCGTCGCGCACAATTATATCCGCGATGTATGCAGTAAGACGCGACAAAGGAATGTCGTGAGATCGCGATCGACGAACATGAGTATTCTTTTGTCCTGTGCTGTTTGTGTGTACTTTAATAATCTCTAATCGATGTGCGACCATGTACGATGTTCTCTCACCTCGAACTACACACACGCGGTGTGATCTCTTAACGGGGGAAAAAAAAATTCCGATAATTCTCAAGTTTCTTCTGCCTTTTCGTGACTTTTGCATGGAATTTTTCAGAAAGAGATGGGAGCGTTCTCCTTTTGTCAATGTTTATCTCGTCACAGACTGTTTCTTTCAGCAGAGCAGCGATGCGCGCACATTGCCCCGGGAAGAGCAGAATTTTTATATATTTCACAATTATCACATTTGCAGATTTTTCTCTCTCTTTCTCTTTCTGTCTTTTCTCTCTCTCTTTCTCTGTCTTTCTCTCTCTTTCATCAATATGAATTTTACGAATCGAAGCTAAGGCAATGTCTTATTATTATGTATCACCAACACTTAAAATGATTGTTGTACCTTCAAGCGTAAATTAATGTGCACTTTTCTTCTTCTTTTTTAGCCTTTCTTCGATTAACGTCCTATTTCGATTAAATTACTGAAATGTTTGTTCAAGACGAAATGAGCAGCCTCTCCCATGTGGAAAAGTATATAAAAAAAAATTCTCCTCGGCGTATATCACAATGAAATTTTAGTGGATGGTTTAAACCAGAGACAATGCCGTCGAATTTGCATGAAAGATAATATCGACAGTGTCGCGAATAAGTCAATTACGTTCTCGCGTGCTGTATTACTTCGATGGATCTACAGACCCACGCCCGGGATCAAATTACGCGGCTTTGCAAGTTAATATCGCGCGGTTTTTTTTTTTTACTCAATCTGTAAAATCCACCACGACACCACATATATACAGAACCGCTAATTAATTCATCGAGCTTCATCCGAGCTTGACAAGGAACTGCGGCTTCACGCTTGGCGCGCGATTGCTAATTCGATAGCTTTGATATTAACGAATGGCTTGTTTGACTACTAATTACCTAATTCACGGATTATACGGACTGTTACTCTTTATCGTGTCGTGTGCCCTTGCCGATTATACTTTCGCGTGCACACACCACGCTCTACATCACCGAAAAAATCGTTTCTCTTGCGCCCGCCACTCACACTTTACCGATCTCTCATCACCCACACGATCGATCGATCGTTCTTTGGGTACCCAGATTACGACGGTCGACACTCGCCGGCGAAGCGAGAATTCGCACCGACACCGATATACCGATATACCGACACAATGGTGTAATTATTTACTCTGTTTATGTGCTTGTGTATGTGCCAGTACTAGCGTTCAGGAGGGAGGATGGAAAATGAGAGGTACTAACACCTTATATCTATGTAAATATATTTATCGTCTTTCTCTACTTTTTTTTTCTTAATTTATTCGTTAAATGGATAAACTGTAACGTGATCCACACATACACGTGATTTGTGCGTACTGGGCCTGATTCAATGGGTGGTCACAAAGTTAAAGCATGTCCACAGTGACGTCGATTTATACTACTTTTGCACATCTGCTGGCGGACCTCGCGATCCGAGTATATATATATATATATACTTCACATAATTATACAGCGAAAGGACGAAAACCTTAGGGGATGGGATTGCCTTTCAGCGTCCGTTGTGTAACGTGGCCACAAGTACCGCACACGGGAATTTCTGACTCCGACGAGAGACGAGAAAAAGAAAAATCGATTCCTGCAACCGCCCGACAATCTCCTATTCTACTTCCGCCTTACTTTTCGCCACTTGTATCCACCATACTGTCTTGCAAACTGTCAACTAATATATATATAAATCCGCCTACTGTACTAACTATACCAACGTTTCTCTCCCGTCTCCTCCTCACTGTTACTTTTCAAAACTCCGTTTCTTTCTCCCTCTGTTTTTTTCTTAAACTCTTTCTCTGACACTATTTCTACCTCCTTCTCTCTGTGAAATTTCTATTAACCTCTGCAGAATTTCTATTAACCTCTTCTTACTATGTCTGGCTATGTCCCGCTTTCTTTTGTTTCTAGATATTGCAGAACCTACAAAAAAAACGCACTGAGCGGAGGGGGCGCCTAAGTTCTGACAATATGACTAAAAAGAAGTCCGGTTTCAGCAAAAGCGAACTTATTTTTAAGGTAACCCGCCCTGGCGAACGCGCGAAGCTCACGTCCACGCGATTCGCACCACGAATCAGCCTCGGAAATTTCCCATCCGGTTTTCCGCGAGACTCGATAGAAGGAAGTCAACTCTCTCGACCTCCTCTTGGCCGCACAATATTTAACATAATTATTGAACGAGATCTCCGACAGTCAAGAATTATCATTCGCTTTACGATTTCTCGCCGAACTTTTTGTTAAAAAAAAACGGCGCTTTAAAATGTCGCAAACACGACTGGAAATATTATAGTGAAATATTTCAGAAATTGTAGATCCCACAATTTTCGCCTCAAAACCGAGCTATGTATTCTTGACCGGTGAATCAATTAAATCGTTTATCTCCTTACCGAGGATCAGGATATCCGAAGAATAATTTCTAGCATCGCGCGGGAATCGGATGGATCGATTGTTGATTGAACCGATCGACTGCCGTTCTGTCGGTGTCTCGCGGGGACCGGGAGCCGGGCTGACGAGGTTAATTGGACGGAGGAGCTATACGCTGATTGGCTCGTTGGTTTATTACAAACATTCAGCTTTTACTTTTTCCGCCGCATTATACATTTACATATACCCGCAGCAATAGGCTATGCTTCTTTACATTCACCATCGGCACCCGCCTAGCGATGAGAAAGTACATGTACATAACTATGTGTGTGATATATGACAATCTAGAGGCCCACAAATATAGATATGGCAAAGAGAACGCCCGGCACGGTTTAATTACGGAGCCCACCTTTAGCGCCAGCACGGCGTCACTTCGCGGATGTATTATGGTAAAGGCCCCGAATTCCCGACGATCGCCAATCGACAGCGCGATATTCGACGTGAAAGTGAATGAAGTAAACGAGGATCGGTTGTCAAAAGTCCGGCGTGGCGCGTCCGACTCAAAACAATCGTATATATTCGTGTTTAAACCCTTCCTCTCTCCGTCTCTTTATATATATTGTATCTATCTCTCTCTCTCTCTATCTATCCATCTATCTATCTATCTTCTCAATCTAACTTCCTCTCGTTTACTATTTGACTGTTTGTTGTATCTTCTACGTCTCCTCGATCCCTCCGTCTTGTATCCCCCCTCTATTCCAGTCCGATTCCACCGTGTCCCGTGACCCGATGGACGACCGCAAAACCGCCTGTGTTTCCACGCACTATCTTGTGAAACGCTTTTGATCGCTAGACGGTGTGCACGATCCTGTGAAAACGAGCGCACGTGATTGGGCGTCCCTTTTCTGTCGCTTTACTGTAAACTGTGTATCACACTGTACATCGAGACTGTGTACCCCAAGATGCATCGCTGCCTTAGAAGGTGGCAGGAGGGAAATGGATACACACAAGACCACATTGGCGCGAGCGCTAAACGGGATAACAATTAGGGATGCAATGCGTATGAGAGTAGAGGAGCTCGCTTATCCTCCCCTAACGCTGCTCTGCAAACGACTTTCACCCTGTAACTAGCCTGTCGCCAGCCGCGCGCGTCTTACCCACCCGCTCTCTGTTTTTCGCTCTGTCGCTGCCCGTTTGCCCCCGCTCTCTGTCGCTGCTTCTCGGCCGAGAAAATGCACCTCTATATCTGTGTATAATATAACCGCTGGCTATCTGTGTGCTTGCAAATTCGGAAAAAAAAAACCGGAGAAACGAAGACACGACAGAAGAGCGAAGACACACTTCGCCTTCTCGCTTCGTGTATGGCTTGGCTTGCGCGAGGCTTAACAACGCAATGTGTTTGATTTGACAGCTGCGTTTTGTTCGTCGTCCCTCATAACGCTGATCATAATCACTCGAATTCGTCTCGGCCAAAGGCGCGAGGAACTCTCACCCTCACGACAAACATCTCTCTCTTCCGGTGAAGAACCCGCCCCCCCGTACCTCGGTTGTTCTCTGTTGTGTCTTTAGTTTGCAGTATACTCACTTTTGTTTCCGGTGTCCGTTTTAGAGCGTTTGTTGTTGCCACTTACAAATCGCCATCCGTTAACTAGTGCGCTGACTCATTGATCGTTGATTGTTCATTAATCATATATCGTGGAGAACATAATCAGAATCAAGCTTTCATCTTTACTAGACCTGTGACTGTCTCGTAGAAGAGAAGGTTGATGTTGAGTTGACCAGTGTATCGTTTACCTTGTGTTTCCCTTCTTTCTTCTTTCATTTTTTTTTCTCTTAATTCTTGTTGATTTACAAATCCACGCCACGCACGTACCTATATACGTCGCATCGCTCATTAACGGCATCGGCGATATACATACGTATGCGTGTGCACGCGTGTACCGTGTATCCCACGTGTACACGATCTTTTTTACTTGTAGATCAGGTAATGTATTTGAGCTGTATGTGGTCTAGCCTGTAAGTTCTCCCATATGTTCTCTTACTTGTTTCCCGTAGGCGCAGAAACAGTTACCATTGATCATCATCCATGGAGTATCATAACACCCCCCGATAGATACTACCCCCTAATATTTTACCGCATTTAGATAACCAGAGCTCCGCCCTTCATCGAAATCCTACGGCGATTGGGCATCGAGATGCATCTCTCGTCGTCTTTTTACACTGTTGCAATCTGTTAACGGCCATGTCTACGATAACTGTAAATGCGACTCTTTTACGACCAGGTGTTCGGCGTGATCGCACAAGTGATGAAGCCATGCAGGCCAACTTCATACAATAAACTAAATTTCACTCATAAATATTATATTATTGATATTAAAAAATTTCTGATTATTAAATCTAAAAAAAATGTAACGTAATTGTTATCAAATATTATATTATTGTAATTTGAATTATCGTTCACTTATAAACTCTATGAGTATTTATTGCTGCAATTTCATCGCGATAAAATAAAGAGGGAGTATATACAGAATTTTTTCCCCCCCAAAAAAACACGCATGGAACTAAATTATCTTCAACAAGATGACACATCTGTTTGAAGCTTATTGTACGTCATTATGTCATTACGGTCGGTACTGCAATGGCTCTGTCATTTCTGCGGTTTAAGTGCAAGAATAATTACCTAACTGTTATACACAGGGGACAGGTCCCACTGCCGTACGATTTCAAGATCATTATGCCGCGATTGCCCAAGACTCGACAAGTACCTCGTAAACAGCTTCACCTACTCCTCGCCTTTGCCTTTGTCGCGCGTTTAGATTTATTAATAAATCGCCGGCACAAATTTTTCATCTGCGTCGAGTCCTGCAAAGTATTTTTCTTCGCGAGAGTATCAAACTTCCGTAAGTTATAAGAGCACGAAAGTGTATATCGAGGATGATAGATACGGCGGACGATAAAAAGAGAAAGCTCGATAAGGCTCTGAACTACTTGCGGGTGCTTGGGCAAGCGCGTCTAAGTTTCGGAAACTTCAGTTCGTCGCCGCATATAACGGGGGCCGGATTCGGAGAGAATTTTCTTCGCACATACGTGGCTCGGGTCGACGGCGCGCCGGTATTGGAAATTCATTTGCGCGCCACCGGCTCAGGGTTTATTCGCGAACGAAATCTCTCGAACACCGAATACGGTGGCCGCGAATACGGTGCATGACACAGTTCATTATTGCAGCGCGCGCGTGTCACGAGTTTCGTTACGAGTACCGTACGCATACAAGTGCGGAAGCAGATATATATATATATGTCATCGCCACATATGTACATACGTTATGTACATACCCATAAACATGAGTCGCACTTCATGATACCTTCAACGATCCTTAGATAATTCTATCCTTATTCTTTCGACTAACAGGAGAACGCTGAGACCATCCGACGCCAACCCATTCGAGTAATTTTATCAATCGCTTTTGCCGATCCCTTTTTTATAACGTGTAAAACAAAATTGATCTATAATTTTTAAATTTTTAATTAAAAATCTCTTGTAAAAATTCGTAATTTCGTACGTGCATATATAAAAATAAATTAGAAAATGTCTAAATTAAGAGATTTTAACTCATTTGCTGTACATTAGCGAGTGACTATATATTAAAAATAACTGAATCGTTCGTTGAAATTATACATCTATTAATATTTCACTTTAACGCGCAAATTACTTTATCGTGCGTATTAATTATTGGGAAGAAGATCAAGATGCAACTAACCGCGTGATAATCATCGAAGTAAGATACGGATCGGAATCTCGAAGGGTTAACTCGGCAAATTAGCCATGTCGGTACGCTCTCCGCGTGTTCTCCAGCTTTTTATTTTAGTGCGGACGGATTCCCATATCGTACTTATTGCGCACGATGGAGCCGAGCAATTTGCAATTATGGTTATGGAACCGAACGGACTACATCGACGTTATTGGATGAGCGTCGATTTCTTTTTTTTGTTTTTCCTTTCTTGTGTACGTCATATATCATGAACATTTGGCGCATAAGCGGTTTGAGAATCTTGGCCCAACCAGTTGCAAATGATTGATATTTTTTGTTAGAGCATTCGTAGAGTAACCAGTTATTTATTCAACGTTTTAGGTTACATTGAATTGTTCTTTTGTGTGCCACGTGATGCGTATTTTCTAATGTAGCATGCTTTTCTTAACGGACGAAAAAAAAAAGAAAGAGTCTCAAGAGTATGAGAACGGCGATGACAACTTAGGAAAAGTGTGTGACACTCTCACTCGAACTATATATATCCGCGCTAAGATCTGAATGCGAGCATCGATTCTTGCTTAATATACATTTGTCAATGATGAAGATCTTAATTATTTAAGCAGTTATCCTGTTATTTTATCATTTAAGCTACAAAAATCAGCTTGAAATATTTGAAATTTCACAAGGAATCTTGAATATCGATTCTAAATTAAATCTTTGTCTAAAAATTTGCTGTTTTATAAAGGAATGACTGGTTAAAGAATTAAAACAAGCTTCATTCTCTATAAAATTTGTAAAAGTGCTCGTTGAATAATTTATCGATACGACGATCGGATCTTAGTGACGGATCCCATCACGTAGTTTGCTCAATATTCCTAAATCTGAGCAAAAAAAAAGAAACAATAATAGAACTAATTGTTCTCGACGAATTATCTACCGCGTTTTTTGTGTAACACTCGCTTACTTGCTGTACACTACGCAAACCGGAGCTTTGGATAAACAAGAGAAGTTTTAACCAAAACGTGTGAGAAACACTTCGACGCGCCCAATCCGTCACGAGAATAAAGCTCTAACGTTGTTGTTGGCAGTTCCTGAACATGGCGTCGGTGTTCATGCGGATTTTTAACCTGATCTGTATGATGCTCCTAATCGGTCACTGGAGTGGCTGCCTGCAATTCCTGGTCCCTATGCTTCAAGGATTTCCCAGTAATTCATGGGTGGCCATCAACGAGTTACAAGTGAGTGATTAACGATATTATTTGAGTACCATTGTACGGGCCACAATTCTAATGAACGCTAAATTAATTAATGTATAATTTCAGAAATATGAAAAATAATCTGTTTAATATTTTTCTGAAACTCCCCGTTCATTCAACTTACTTTTATTACCTTCTTATGATTGATTTCTCTTTTAAAAATTACTTAATATGACTTTTTAAAAATTATTTATAAACAAGTGTGTTACTTTTCAGTACATACAAAAAATAGTGTTAAACTCTACGCGAAAGTTCTTTGGCGATTTGACAATTGTGAATTTTCAATTAGGGAGCAAGAAATCGAGCGAAATTCCGCGCAAACGCCATGCACTTTGTGCCGAAATTAACGATACATAGAACGATTTGCAAAATGCATTTCCGTATTACGACCTGACGTCTACTTGCAGGACTCGTTTTGGCTGGAACAATACTCGTGGGCCCTCTTCAAAGCCATGTCGCACATGCTGTGTATCGGGTACGGTAGGTTTCCGCCACAGTCCTTGACCGACATGTGGCTCACTATGCTCAGCATGATCAGCGGTGCGACGTGTTACGCTCTTTTCCTCGGACACGCGACGAATCTCATTCAATCTCTCGATTCCTCGAGAAGACAATACCGCGAGAAGGTAGATAGCGCGTGATATAACGACGCAACACGCCCGGAGTTTGCTGGAATTTAATTCCCGTCTGTCCGCAGGTGAAACAAGTAGAGGAATACATGGCCTATCGAAAACTACCGAGAGAAATGAGACAGAGGATCACGGAGTACTTCGAACATCGGTACCAAGGAAAGTTCTTCGACGAGGAGCTGATCCTTGGAGAGCTTTCGGAAAAATTGAGAGAAGTACGATTTATGTGAAACGTTTCATTTAATGGAAGCTAAAAATGATATATGTATAGTATTTCGGGAAAAGCGTAATTGAAAATTCAAGAGATGTCTCATTCATATTAATGTTCAATATACAGTACCGATCTCTGGAACCCGTCGAGAAAATTTATGATATTTAAATATAAAGAAAATATAAATGTTTACAAAAACTGCATCTTATTTCAGGATGTGATAAACTACAACTGCAGATCGCTGGTGGCGTCCGTGCCCTTCTTCGCCAACGCCGATTCGAATTTCGTCTCGGACGTCGTGACGAAACTCAGATACGAAGTCTTCCAGCCAGGTATATCGATTGTTATAAACGCGTTTTTCTATTTTCCGCGCTAGATAAAACGTCTCGCGGCGCGGGGAGAAATCTAATTCTCGCGCGTCGCTCAAGAGTCGTGCGAACGGTATTCGAGCGTGTACGGTGTACTTGCAGGCGATATCATCATCAAGGAGGGTACAATCGGCTCGAAAATGTACTTCATCCAAGAGGGCATAGTCGATATCGTGATGGCGAACGGCGAAGTCGCGACCTCGTTATCGGACGGGTCTTACTTCGGCGAAATCTGTCTGTTGACGAACGCGAGGAGGGTGGCGTCGGTCCGAGCGGAGACCTACTGCAACCTCTTCAGCCTCTCGGTGGACCATTTCAACGCCGTACTGGACCAGTATCCCCTGATGCGCAGAACGATGGAGAGCGTTGCCGCCGAGAGGTATAAGCTTTGGTTAGGTTTGTTCTATCGAGTTGGTGTGCTAATAGATGTCAATCATCACTCCCACTCCCATCTACTTTATTTGAGCATTTCGTACTGTCCGACAAAACGGAGATCAGTCATTTGCTGCCTGTGGAAATCATGTCGCTCTCGCCTCAAACATACAGATTTCTCGTATGTGTTTGTTAGAAACTCTCGAACGCTTGTTTTACACACACGTATACACACACATACGTCAATGAAATTTTTATCGGAGAAAAAAATGAAAAAGAGATCAGAGCGACGGATTGTCGCCCATTGACTTCCTCGTGACTCTTGAGCGCGACAGTTGGAGAGTTGGGGAGAATTTGTGACAAATATTTATGATGAAAGCGCACTAACTTACGATATATATATATATATATATAATGAGTTGAGAGGGTTAAAATCCGTTCGAAATATCTTTGATAATCAAAGATATGTACGACCGGAATTCGTTCTGTATTCACATAGGAGAGGGAAAATATCCGATGTAGTGGTGCGTACTTCATGAAATCGGATATTACCCGATTGAATAAATAACAATTGCAGTTTCGTGTTAAAAGTTTTACACTCTCGACACATTCATTACATAATAATGTTCTATTTATAATTTGGCATAACATATTATTGACATATTTTATAAATTATTTAAAGTATCATTTTTGTCACACGTCCGCATAAGTACCGATCTTATGCAAACTTGATTGTGCGAAAAGTTGAAATTTGTAAATCTCTCGATGTTACGAGATTTCCGCGAAAATAATTTGCGAACTATAAAAATTGTAAAAGTTTCTTAAATGAAAATCGATATAAGATTATATATTCGCTGTTTTATTATTTATTTTATGTATTCGCGTATTATTCGAAATACAATTCCAGCGGTCGGTGTGTGACAAAGATAACAAATTTTTTTATCAGTTTATTATTTTATTTCATTCAATTACCTTTAGCAGTGCAAGTAGTGTCGAAGCAAATAATAATCGCTGTTGAGTACAGATAAGCGGCGGGTGTTGTAAAGTGCCACGAAACGGACGAATCACTGTGCTGCTAAGTGGTTTAGAATTTGATGTGAATAGTAGTTGGTTATGCCCCGTGCGACATTCCCTACGCTTAATATCATGCTCTCCTTGTAGGCTAAACAAAATCGGGAAGAATCCCAACCTGGTGGCTCATCGCGAGGAGGATCTTGGCAGCGAATCAAAAACGATAAACGCCGTAGTAAATGCACTCGCGGAGCAGGCCGCGCATGCCAGCGCCAGCGAGGAATCAGTAAGTACGCGAACGCGAATAGCACTCGTAAAATCTGTAATTAAACTACATGCTTTTTTTTATCGCGTTTCCTTCTCTCAGCTAAAAAGAAGAAATTTGTTCTTATTTTCAACTTTATTTTAATCTTACCGAGTGTAACTTATCTCTAATCTGAACGGGCATGTGTGAAGTTAGCAGCATCCCAACATTAAAATAGTACTGATTAGAATTTCCGCTTCATTTTGAAGAGACGAAGAGCTCTCTATTTTATAACACGGTTTCTACTTCATAATAATTTTTATAAGAGATTAGCACACATTTTTTAATTTAAATTAAAAATTGTTTAGAATCCTTGTTATAAACCATAGAGAACTCTTCGTATTTTCAAAATAAAGCGGAAACTCTAATCAGAACTGTAGAATTCGAATGTTGGAGTGCTAACTTCACAGACGCTCTGAACAGATCAACGAAGTTCTATGGTTTCTCGTATCTTTATAAATAGACGCACGTGTATCTTATGTCATCTTTGTAAAATTTGTCATTTCAGGTACATAGTATGGAGCTCAGAACGCTGCCGGGTTGCCTCTTGCCCAGACCAAAGTCTGAGAATAATTTCGCGAGCCAGGAACTTACGAGGGAAGGACGGAGAATGTTTCACAAGAGCGACACTTTCCACAAGGATTCGTATCAATGACGACACTCGTTTTACTAGCATATGCAGAGATACTAACGGCTCCATGTTGGAAGAACAATGGAACTTGTCTCATCGATAGGACAAACACTTGGTGGTTTTGTGCCCGGTGCTAGGGCGATCCTATAGCAGCGGTCTATACATAGATATCGGCCATGCCAGTAGTCCTTTAGCAATCGATTTATAGCGCCTTCTTATATTAATCTGACGGCATTTTCGTCCAGGACCGCAAAACCGCCGCGACCGAGTCCTATGCTCCAACTGCGATACAGATCCGCGAAGAAATAAACTGTTGCAATAAATAAATAAATATATATATATATTATACTGTTATATATAAAATTTCCATGAAACATATACCACAAAATAATTCCGTGATGGAAGGAAAAAAGGTTTGAAGAATAAAGGAAAAAAAAAACTTTTACATTTTAGGCCCCTTTATCTTTCAAACTTGGTTCGACTTCTTTTATTTAGAAAATTATAACAAAGCACTCCATACAATCGCGAAATTTTAATCTTTCACGAGCACAAGGTGAAGAAAAAAAAAGAAACATCTGTATCTCGGTTGGAGAACATGGAGCCACGTTTCACGCCGTGTCTCTTCATTGAGAACAATCGCCGCGTCGCATCAGATGCAATATTAAAAGACGGATGGACGTAGCGAAGAATGAAGATCTCAAAGACGACGAAGAGCAGGCCTAGAAGTTTATAGAGAGTATGTAGCCCACACAACGTGGGGAAAAAAAATTAGGTATAATCCTAAGTAACAGTGTAACGATGCGTAATTCTCTGTGATTTTGCAAGTTGACGTTTCGCACCTTAGGAAAGAAGAAAAAAAACCAGTATAATCTACGTGAAGAATTAGAATGCTCTTTTTTTAAGGCAACAACTAACATATAGAAGAATCGTAAACGTCGTAAGACCAGAGTATTCCGATTCAGTTGACGCGATTTATCCTTAGCTTCGTACTGCATTAGAGCCGCGTAAATAAGTGAAACGAATTAATAAATGCGTAATACTCTGTGCGGGGGAAGAAGTATTATAATGGGAGAAGAAAGGAGAAAAGGTTCACGTAGGATGATGGGTTAAAAATGTCTTGTCGGTGAAGGCTCTTTTTCTGATTTCAGACGCGAAATAAGTTTGCATTTCCGTAAAACCTCGCTTGTTTGGTAGAGTCCCTCATTTTGCTACGTTTTAGTTCACCTCGAGGGTATTATAACGACACTAAAGCCGAGTGATGATCACATGTTGCGACTCAATGTCGGATACATTCGATAGACCGTCCTGGTACAGAAAATATGATCGGTATAAAGAGGGAAATTACGGTCGCGCGTTTGAGAATCCGCGGACGAATCCAGAAAAAGAGAGAGAGAGAAAGCTTGAGATACGATTATACGGATTAATCGGTTCTACAAATGCTTACCGAGGGCCCGGAGGCTGTGTTTAATTGTTGAGAGTCCTTCGGGCCGCTGTGGTTACATGTCAATGAATGAATATTAAACGTAACGCGAGCAAAGTATCTTTTTATGAGATGAAAAAAAAAACAAGAAAAAACGCGATGTACTATAAAAGAAGCTATAAATACTATGTAATAAATTATTATTATTGTTACAATTATTACTTGCAATGATTACTACACCACTACCGCATAATTAGGCGACTAAATAAATTACCAAAAAAAGAGAGAAAGAGAGAGAGAGAGAAAGAGATACAGATATACACATATATGAAGTATTATGCATAGTGGTTAAATATCGTGTTGCAAGATAACCCTAATGTTCAGCTCTACGTGCGAAATGGTTTGACACCGACTAAACCGATACTTACAAGCAGTTTATACACATCATAATTCCCCCGGAGCTTGAATCTATTGTATTCCGTTTTAAAACAAACATTTTATAAATATCAATATCTCTTCGAGGCCAACTGAACCATACCGATCGATCTCGCTTTGCGTATTTTATAGACGCTAACCGGAATCAAACAGAATATTTCATTTCAAATACCTCGTAGCAGAAGAGGATTCGGCGTAAAGAACTACTTTTTGAAAGATAATTATAGTACTGTTTAGTTCACGACTGTAATAAATCCTAACGTGCTCCTTAGTTCTTAATCCCGAAGAGCACAAGTACATTTCTAGCATCACCTCACAACATAATATTCCTGAATTTCTATAAGATAACATAGCAAATATATATATTTTTTTATCAAAGTCATTAAAAAGAAAAGATTATTTTCCTTCGGCAATTTACATATAAAATTTATAAAGTTATTAATACATTTCTTTTTAAGTAGAGTACATTAAATCGCTCGTTGTGCTCTTTGGGATTGAAGAAACGTCCTTTCGACATTAGTAAGCACGCGATCGAAGCGCAGGCATTCGCTTTTATTTTCTCTCATATTCGAGATTGCGGTGCTCCCTTCCGTGTGAAAAGCAAATCGGTCATCCACACTATTAAAAATAACGCCCGAATGTTATTTTTACTTGTACGATGACGAGACTCCATTTAGCGGGCGCATGAAAGGAGTGAGCCGATCGTTTTTTCTAGTTGACGCGTATACACATCGCGAAATACACGTGTACATATATCTTCACCGTAAGAGGTTTAGAAATGCGCGTTTCATACATATGTAAACTTACACACGCGTGCGAGAGGGAGAGAGAGAACGAGAGAGAGAAAATGAAAAAGAAAAAAAGTACCTATTTTTCATGTAAGAGAGACATAGTTTTTTGTCATTATTTACACATCTTCAACATACACGTCTCATCCTCAATATATATAAATATATATAAATATATATAAATATAAATACTGTAATAGCCATGAGAGAGTGTGAGAAGAGAGAGAGAGAGAGAAAGAGAATGCGTACGAGAGGTCAAAACATTCCAATGGTAGAGTAGTCGTAGACCGCATGATCGACGTTTTTATAGTTTAATCTGTACGAACGGTCTAGGATTAATCTGCCGGTTCGGGCCTAAGAGGTACGCATTAATATATAAATATTATAAATAAATATATATATAAAACATTGTTACTGTGCTCCGAGACGAGTGCGAGGGAAAGAACGAAGTGATTGTATACAAAACAAAAACAGAGGAAGAAGCTGTACTCTTACTACCACTGCTAACTGATAGACACTATTTAGCCACTGTCTACTTATGTCGATAAAACGATAAAAAAAGAGAAAGAAAACTGCGGCAAGGAGGTGCTGTGTTAGTACTCTACTCGCATACACATATACAAGATTATTACGTGTACATAATACCGTAATATGTACGTAAGGGAGATACGCATCTCTAGTGCACTACAAAAAGAAAGAAGACGAGAGAGGGGGGGGGGAGAATAACTCTTTAGGATTAAACAGAGAGATCGTGTGACTATTTGAGGCGTGTGAACCTTACTCCGTAAACACAGACAAGAGTGAGACACTTATTAAATAAAAACAAAAAAAAAAGAGGTGAATAGTTTTTGTATTGAGAGTCAAGTCGCGCGTGAATAGCGGAATATTATATTGGATCAGGATCAGACCAGAGGGAGGGAAGGGGGGGGGGAGGTGACAGGGGAACAGATCCGGAAATCGGAAATGGACGCATATAGTGTCTGGCAATGAATCAGTAGGAAGCCCGAGATTAAAAAAAAAACGAGAAACGTAAGTTCCACATTTGTTGCAAGAAATTAACCGGATAGCGTGTACCGGATCGCGGAAGCGTTAGATACGTCGTTCCGAGGCTGATTTAAGTGCCGTGATCTGTGCAGAGCACGCAGAATGGGACGCCGCGAGGAAAAGGACGAGATCGTAAACGGGTGTTTTCAAATCTCACATATCAATCGTTCTGTTGAAAGACGTCGCGAAAGTATAACGCTGAATGCGAGAATTCTTTTTTACAGCGCGCTCGGCAAAACCGCTTGACTGATATATAGCGTTTATCATACTCGTCTTTTTTCTTTAGAATATTCGATCTCGCAATTCACTTGAAACAGACTTAAGGCTTGAACAAAATTTTCACGTATTGCACATCTCGACCGGGTATACATATATCTATCGGTAATCCGGCTCGGTTAAATATCGTGTTAAATGAACACGACAGAACGACCGTCTAAAAATCATCCTCCCTTCGAAGTAAACGTACAATTTTCCGTTTCCGGTTTCAAGGATCGAAAGCTGTAAGAACGATCGACAAAGAAACATGCGACTGTCCAGAGCTAAATAAAACGCTATTAGATGATCCGCTGTTAAGCGTTTCTCAATAGTTTTCGCACGGTGACACGGTACTCCCCGGAACAATTGCGATCCGCGATAAAAGTGTATTTCGTTCTTATGTATTATTCCGCGTTGCGTGTTGCGCACTATTAAATACATCTTCAATATTGAATGAAATTATTGCAATTGAGTATCGTTATTTTAACGATATTGACAAATGTGAACGTGTCGTTTAAAAAAAAAAATCCACCATTGTCCGTTTTTCTAGAACTGTTCAAAAATCAAATGTGATTGAAACAACGAATTATGCACACATCAGAGCTCGCGCGCGCGGTAATTCTTGTATAATATTAAATAGAAGTGTGTAATATCACGTAGATCTTATAACGGTTTCTCGAATGCGATGGTGCTATCACAGGTCAGTTTTCTTTTATAAAGAAGCCATAATTAAATTGAACTCCCCGATCGAAAGAGCAGCAGATAATCCCTCGCATTAAACGACTGTTATCAAATTTGTGTCATATCTGTTTCGATAATATACATCTGCTGCTTAATTAAAGTCTTATACTGAAATTTTTAATTTTCGCTTTTTGGACCTCTCAAAATATCGTGACACCGTGCGAAGGCTAGGGCAACTAGCTGGGAAACCTGCGTAGTACGCCTTGTAAAAAAATAAAATAAAATGAAGAAAACATTACCCTAGCGTCAATTTTCTACGAAAGAGTTTTCTACAGGGTTCACACCATGAGCGGGAATTCGACGTCGTGCTTATGGTATGAATGTGTATGTACGCTGTTGCGGCGCTGATATGAATCTACCGACGTTTTTTCTATTACACGTTATTGCGTTTGTAATTACGATCGTTTTTTCGAGCGTGCGAAGGGAAAGCAGATTACAGCGAAGAGCATTATAGTGAGAGCTTGCTAGAGATCGATTGAACGAATGAGAGGAGAGAAATACTTCGATGAGAGAGAGAGAAAGAGAGATGCTTCGATTTTTCTACGCGACTTCGCTTCCGTTTCTTTAGCGATCTGAAAATTTACTTGGCATTTTGTAAAATATATAAAATTTTTCAGTAATTTAGCTGCAGAAATTGTATGAAAATTTCTGGATGAAATACGTGGCAGAGTAGGAATACTGCGGTTCTCTAGGAGTACACATTGCCGGTATCTTTCGCGATGCTAATGGTGTAGCTTGTAGAACAGCACTCGCAAATATGATTATTTGAGAATATTAATATTCAAAGAAACCAATATTCTTCCGTTGGTTATGTGCAAAATAAATACATTTACGACAGTTTTACCCCCCAAATTAGAGTTCGTACTTAACTTTCGGTAATAATTCAAATCACGAACGATTACTTTCGTCGATGCTACGCCATTGCTCGCAAAAGGTCTTACATGTGCCATAAGAAAATACGAAGTAATAATAATAAGTAAACATGCGGACTATGCCGCTTCTACGCTGCTGTGCGTATTTCATTAAGGTCAGCTCATGCTGTGAGTAAGCAATAATTAATAGCAAGCATTTAATTAATTCAAACTCAAAGAAAATCAATCGGACCTTCAGCTAATAAACGCTTGATATGTACGAATATCTCAAGCTATCGTACGACATCTCGGAGATGCAGTTGCACCTCGTTAGGCGTCATTCTTTAATATACCGAGTGAAGGAAGTTGGAACGCCGTACGCGTTCTGACCGAAGGAACACACACTCGTGCTTCTCGAGATCTAACTTCTTCTCGTTTCGCGACTTTACGTAGCGATTTGCAATTCGATATATTTTCCTTATGGTATAATTAGGCGTAATAGATGGAGGAACTGCATGCGATTAGGGGAAAAAAAATTAGCGCGGGCCGCGAATGTGCAAGCCGCATACCTATATATATAAATATATAAATTCGAATCGAGGTCACACTTCTTTTCTAACGGGGGCCGTCGTTTCCTTTAAAAAAAAAAAAACACCGATTCGATCCTAGCCTGGCTATATATTATATATATTTAGGGAATTAACCGGCCGACTATACTTTTATAAAGTGTACGAGAAGTATTTCACGCGCGTATTTAGACATCGGCACCTTTAAAATATACTTGCCATAACGAATGCCTTAGCAAAATGTTACTGTATAATTGAGATACCATGAGGTGGGGGGGAAAGAAGGTATATAAATATAAGTATACATGTCATACGCATGACACGGTACACACGGACAGATGCATACATATACAAGCGATGTACACGAAGCCGTACACACATACACACACACACATACATACACATACAATAGGCAAATGAGTCAAAAGCCAATGCACATCAAAGAAAAACATAAGTAGAAAAGAGTACCTACATTCACCGCGTGCACGCATAAGATATACCGTGATCGCGTTCGGTCGCGATAGATATTATACGTGTGATCACGTTAACAAATAACCGACGGAAGTTGAACCATCACTCTAAAGCAGTGTATGCGAGACTTCCTCAGAAGCGCACGAAAATACAAGTAAGGGATGAAGGTGCAAAGTGAGAGTATATAATTAAATGTATTATATTAAGGTTGAATTACTTCTAGAGCGAGTGAAAGAGCGATCATTAATCATGTACATACCATTCTCGATGGCAATACTCAACTTCGCCCGTCCATTTAGTTTCTACGTTATATACGTTTCGCGTAAGAAGACTAAATTTTTTTATTTATCTGTTGTTAAACTTCAGAGTTCAGCTTGCAGAAGAAAAGGGTCGTAATGAAAACACTGTGAACTATTTCTTTCTGAACAATTTAATTTTAAATGTCGTCGCGCCTTGACACATGTGCCATATGGAAAAAAAAGAGAAACGTTAGATACTAAAGAATATAGGACGGAAATTTTTAACGTAAAGAAGAAAACTCGAAGAAATCCAATTAATTTTGCACGCGAATTATTTCTTTGTCGCGAAATGACAATTAATTATAAAGAGACATGGAGGAAAAATAAATTATGCACGATTATTAATTGTTTTAATTGCAACGCAAAATTACTTTTCGCAATCTCCAACTAATTAGGTCAAAGTAACTCGCAAACAAAAAATGTATTTGCACGCATATTTTACATTATATTTTTATCTTTCGACATTATACTTGTCACGAACATATACGTAAATAAACGCGATACGTTGAATTTATTTTTCTCTCTCGTTTAGTTCCGTCATCGCGATGGCAATTAAACGAATTTCTTTCTCAGGCATGTGGTAACCAAATACTAAGCCAATACAATGCCACTCGATTTCCCAAACAATACTCAAACATAAAGTTCAAATTCTGACAACACAATCTGTCTCGGTATTGTCGATTCATTTCGGTATTACTCTCGTGTTGTACACTCGGCCACTTATAAATCAAATTATTAATAATGACATACTACTTAAGGCATCATACATTCTGTAGCATAATATTTTGTTCGAAAGCGTTCTTGATTTTTATCCGAGAAAAGAACGTCTTTTTTTAGTGCACATCGTCACACATTGTGTCCTGCCTGCCGACGAAATTATACATGCATCTGCATACATAACGTTCGGAATACAGCACGGCGAGCGCGAATGTACAGACACGTGCAGCAGAAACGTACACGAATACACGTATATATACACACGTACATGCATACTCCGAGATTTCATACAGTATCACACTAGCGACTAACTAGTTGATGAACTAAACTATGTTATAAGAAAATGAGAGTAAAAAAAAAACAATATCAAGTATCAAAGGTCAATGGCAAAATAGTTGAAAGACTCTAGCTTCGTGGCGAGGAAAACAATTATTTTCTATGCTATTATTTAATCACTGAATAATGTAATCTATGTTAAATATGTCCGCGCGCACGTGTACATTGCAATACGTCCGCGTGTGCTTAATGAAGTGCTTCATGAAACTACATTAATAGCAAACTATATGCAGAAATAGCGCGAAACTACGATAACTATATATTTCTTCTTATCTTTGGATGCTACTAGAATTTCCGCGCCCGATGTATTTCTCGCTGGAGATTATTTTCCGATTGCCGCTATCGAATATCCACGTTAAAATAAACATCGCGATGTAAAACCGATGTACAGGGGCGCGCGGACAGACGTGTACATATATATAGAATGAATTGCAAATAAAATATTACAAAAAGCGACACGCGTTCTACCAGTGAAGTCAATCGCGATAAATCGTATAAGTAGCGGAGAGAGAACAATTTCAAGAGAAACAAATACTAAGGCTAATCACGTAGTGGGGAAAAGTAACGACGTCTCTATGCTGAAGTCGGCGAAAATAAGGCGCAAAAAAAAAAAAACGTTTGTATATTTCGTCAATAGATTTCCACACGCATCACGACGCGACTAACGTAAACGCCTGCGAATAACATTTACTCTGATTTCTCGATCGCGCGATGAGTTACTGGCGAGTGTCATAAATTAGAATATTTCGATCAGCGTGGAAAAAAAATATGTTTCGTTCGTTGTTGCAGCGTTGAATTTCGCCAAATCGACATTGCGATAAATATTTTGAGAGTTTTATGTTACCGCATAATAGGAGGTGAATGCGGAGAGGAACGCATCAAATGAAAATTGTAAAATTAAAAGGATCTACATCATAACACTTTCCTTGCGTACCGCAAAATACGATGACGCTCGTATTTGTAAAAAAAAATTTAAACAATAGATCTTCTGGGATTGTCCTTGTTTCTTATAGACGGCACTTGTATGCTGATAAACTGTTAACTTTACTTTCGTAATAATCATTAATGAACAGATATTAATATAATTTAGTGCCTTCGCTGCTATTTATTCTAAGAATAAATACTTTGGTGCAATTAGTATTGCCTGTTCAAGAAACTGATTTCTCCTCGTACCATCCTATAACTCATGTAAAGTTTTCTTGGATGTGGGTGTGCTATACTATACTGTATTACAATTTTGTGCATAGTTTTTTCTACAAATAACAAATGAAAAACGATAGAAAAAACTTTATTTTCTATAGTACAACAGAAGCGTGAAAAATAACTAATATACGGATGATTAATGCGAATCTGTCTTTTACTACTACTTTTTCTTAATTTGAACTATGAATATTAATAAATCTTTAAAATCTGAATACACTTGAATTTAACATTCACAACAAAATAAAAATTTTAGTTTTTAAAATTGTTAAATTTTCACACATTTGATTACTTATTTATTTATTTTAATACAAATTATATATATATATATATATATATATATATACATATAAAATTATGTATCTTAACTTTAAATTACGACTGTTTTTAGGGTATAAAAAAGAGATATGAGTACTTTCTTTAAAAATTTAATGACAAGTATGCAGCAAGTATATCATGTGAAAAATTAATTCAGATTATCTCCGTACACATCTCGTTATATCAAATGGATTCGTTGCAGAAAAAGAGACGATTACGTCAAAGCAATCAATAGTGATATACGATACTTGTCATAACAGTGAAACCACGATTATCATCGCAAATACGCCGATATTGATTGCATTACGGAACATTATGAGAAGACAAATATGATAATAATAATACAGGATCTTTTTCACTTCAAGCTTAGTTATGCTATCAAAATTACGTATATAATTACAGTACTATTATTACTACGTAAACAAAAGCACATCAATTCTAAGACTTTCTCAAATAAAGGAACAGATATCGATTTTCATAAAAAACATGTTTACGCTATATATTGCGTTATATATTACATCAAGAATCTTCTTTTATAGAATCGTTTAAATCTGAATTTAATTGCACTGCTCATCAAATAGCAGATTTCTCTTGGCAAACAAATAGTATATTAAATTACAGACACATCACTTTTCTGCACTTTTTTAAGGAGCGTTTCATTAATTCGAGTTTGTCTTCTTTCAAATTCGGATTTCGATAGCATCGCTTGCTAAAGATCATGCATTCGATATGTCTATAAAATCGATGAATTTTATAAAAATCGAGTTAAAAATAACAAAATGTACTCGTATAAAAAAAAAGAATTATATGGAAATTATTAGCTTTTTAAACTATCTTTGAGATAATTCTACGTAAAATGTATTGATGAAATGTCAATCTAGTTTCTCATCCATCTTATATATTTCTATAATTCGAAAATTTCACATACCAAATAAATTCTTTACGTAGCAAATGATAAATCGATTAGTTTGACAAAAATTATCGTAAAATTTCGTTAAATTATATTTCGTAATAATTGAATCCATGGTCTTTAGATTGCGAGGCTCGAGCAGTCTTACAATCCTATCAAAAACGAGCCAAAAGCCGCTCCAGATATAAGAACGCGACTGAACGCGAATCGGTGAACGGTCAAGTGTTCGCATATTCGCGACCTTTATAAAACGAGATATTACTATGCGTACGATTTAAAGCTTGGGAAATAAAAATGCCGAATACTGCTAGTGAATTATGCGCTATTCAAACGAGGACAGCGACGTTGACGACGGCGGCGGCGACGACGACGACAGTGACAGTGACAACGACGACGACGTGAACGAAAACGTCAAACTAGTTTATTGTAAATTACGCTCACGAGAAACGAGAACGAATGAGCATTGAGTATCTATGTACATTGAATATACATATGAGTATATATCCGCGTGTACAGTCGAAGCCCAATGTAGTATGTAAATAAGCCAAGCGGACAATACGTGAAAGAGAGAAAGAGAGCGAGGGCGAGAGTGCGGTGATGGAAAAAAAAGGGACCGAGTGATGTCGCGCATTGCAATAAGCATAGATGCGCCGGCGGAGTTCGCAAGGGAGAGAGAGAGAGAGAGAGAAAGCTTTCAATTCCAGGCACACACAAACAAGATTAATTAACTCGCCGTTAACAAGTGTCGTGACGAATGATCGCGGACTGATGATGTAGAGATGTAATAATATACCAACCTCTCGTCTCGGGCGCGAGACTTTTCTCCACGTGCGAACGAGCCGGTCCTGTTGACGATGGGTTAAAAAAAAAGAAATAATTAAAAAAAAAACTTTATTATAGCCACTTGGAGGAAGAACTGAACGACGTATGTCGTGCAAACAAAAATTAAACGGCCAACTACAAATCGATCGAGATGGGCTTTATCTCGATTAATTAAAATATATATGTATATTGACGTCGCGTCGGGTCGATAGAATTGGCGTCAACCGCTCCGCTAAAATGTCGTATCGACGCATCGAGAATATTAAAAAAAAAAAAAAAAGAAGATAGACTTGAATTCCTACCGATGATCCGCGCACTCCGATATTTCATTACGGGCCTCAACCTACGAAGAGTGCGAAGCGGCGATAGCCGACGTTTTAACAGAATTCTCACGTCTCGCCGCTGCTGTGCCCCTTTACATTCAGCCTTTAATCAACAGCAAAGAGGCGTTTATCGATTTTACAATGTAGGTATCTTAACACATAGGCGTGTACATACTATTGCGACGCGTAAATCAGTCGGGATATTATACGTAGGACGCGGTGCCGAAGACACATGGCGCGGGGACATGCGACAAAAGTGATACCTGTAACGAAACGACTGTATACGTGTGTGTTATCGAGAAGAGAAATTTGTCGTATGTACTCGTTGATGACGTTAAAATTGCACACACTGATCGTAGCGATGATATTTTTTATCGAAAGTGCTCAGCGAAGACTAATGACCCATCATATTGATTCACTCACTGACTCGCTCACTCACTCTGTCACTCCGGTCACTCACTATCTCACTCTCACTACAGTATATATGTTACGAATATGTGCTTTATATAGTTTAACAAAATAAATTATTTCAAAAATTTTGCAGTGTTTAACATTATTTCCAGTGCGAGTGCTCCTCTCAGCGTGTGCATGCAAAGATACGTACAGTACGATGATAAATATTTCATAATGAAAAAAGATTTGTGTATTATAGATTTATGTAAAATATCTTGAGAAAGTGAGACAATTGACTTGATAATTATACCAATTATAATATCAATTATTATAAAAGTTTCAATATTATAAATAGATTGAAAGACGAAGTAATGAAAACTTAATTTATTTAATACTGCTCTTTCTATTTCGTCGATTAGTTAGTTAGCTTTGTGCATAATATATTGCTGCATCAATTGTCAACAATATTTTACTTTTTTGATATATTTTTACACACGACATTATTATTGCAAATAATTATATTACATTACGTAACAATAAAAATATCTTTTGCAATCTTAAACAATGATAAATAAGTCTTAAGGAATAAGTAAGTCCGTTATCACTCTCGCTTCTTGTATCTCGCGAATGCTTTTCTTATCGCGAATCATCTCTAGCTCGCGCTTCAGAGCGTTCGCAGCCTCAATGCAATCATCAGACTCCTCCACAACGGATACATCCGGAAATTCGTCTTGCAGAAGATACAATATTATATTCAGCTGGTTGACAGATCTGCAATCGTTGATAATGTAAATCTATCCTCCAACATCGCACGTTTTATCGCGAATCGCAAATCCGAAGAAAGCGTATTTCTGCTCGTCGGCGAAATCCATTTACCTGGCAAAGATCCTGATATTCGTTTCGTCGGCATCGATCGATTGTACCTCGACCAAACAGTACGTCAGGGAGCCGTGTTCTTTCACCAAGAAAACGTTGTCGCAAACCTTCGTGAAGGTTATCGCGGTCAAAAAACGACAGAGTTTATTCAGACTCATTTGATCGTCTCGATCGTCTCGATCGTCCCACGAGAATTGAACATTAACGATCTTCTCTACGGTAGATGTGCTTTTCAGAGCTAGTATCCCGCTATGCCTGCTCTTGTCTAAGAGTCTCATACACGAACTATCGATCGTCTTGACGATGGAGAGCTGAATCGGCGGCAATGGGATTTGGAATTGTGTCTCATCGATCTCGTATGAGATTATACCCCAGCACTTGACGACAGGCACCTGATCGAATGTCGGTAGATCGAGCACCATTGTCGCCACAACGGCTCCGGGTTGGATCGAGCTGATCTTTTCCGAATGGAAAAAATGTTCCCTTTTCAACTTCCAGAACGTTGACTCGCCGGAAATCTCCTCGTCCGGCATGGGTAGCACGTACGGATAATATCTGGGGTTGAGCAGTGTGCTGCAAAGAAAACTTACGTAACCGCGTTCTGCGCTATTGACAATCCTGACGGTTCCTCTTTTTTAACACACAGTTTCCAGTTAGCCCACACGCATAATAAAATATTTTGTTGCTGCTTCTAAAGAATGTAAAGTTTATATAACGCGTAAATTACAATTGTAGCAAATATTTATTATTTGCACGGAATTTAGTTTTTAATGTCGCTCTAGTAATAAGATGTAATAATACAAATAAGAATTATAAGATTTAATCTGTTGAAAATTTGATGTTAATCTTGATAAGTGTCTACATGATTATATCTAAATTATCATCTTGTTACAGAACGTAAAACGCATAAAATAAAAATGACGACAAAAACAATTCATGTTAGAAAATAAATTTTTCGGTTTTAACTCTCTTGAAAATTTTTATCCTAAACTTAAATTATATATTTATGATAATAAGTTGTCTTTGCATCGTGATGTGATGTCATAATTTGTTGGGAGAAATCATGGGAAGGAGATATCTCGCGCTTTCTACGAGAAGTGCCAATATTGACGTTAAAGCCAGGAAAGTTGTGTCATCAATCAGATATTTCCGAAACCAAGCATTTAACAGTAAAAAAAAAAAAAGTCAATCGGCAAAAACTCTTAGATAAAATTCGTTGTAATGTGCCACATGATATAGATATTTGCCTCATTTTATGATGATAATGCATGACTTGTGCGACGGATACGTCCATGTAATCAGCAATGCGTGAAAATCTCGCATGTTACATAACATACGTGATGTATTCATAGTGCGTAGCATGAATGCAGATTGATGCCAGCTAATCGAAGCGGCAAACAGCTTGCATTTTAATTAATCACGTTTAAATATATCAATCCACGGCAATTATGCTGAGAAAAAATGAAAAGAAACGCGTTGTGTTCAAACACTGACAGATTTATTATCCGAACAGATTGAGATATCGATACGAAAATAATCAAAGACGGGGACTACCGCGGTCTTACAGAGAGAAAATAAACCATCTTAACTTCCGCCATTCAGACAGTTCTTAACTTAATTCAACTTAATCTCATTTCTTTATCCTCTCGATTTGCATTTCCTGCGGAATATATAGATTTAATCTTGATATTCCCTCTCAATCGACATTATTTCGTTAGAATAAAAATTACAGTTTATTATTATATAAAAAAAATCACGGACATACGCTTTTTTCCCCCAAAAAAAATCAGGTCATGCACAGATAAAGCAGTTGCCACGTTGGCGGATATGCACACGCGAATCGACCTTGAATGCTTACACCGACATTACCCATGCAAATCGACTCGCGAACAAAGATACTAATCGCGATGTTCCTGTAAAAGTATAATAACATGATATCAACGTAGAACATGGTAGAACAATTTTATTATGCAAATTATACTTTGTAGTTGATATAATTTGCAAAAATTTAGTTTTCTTCTTTTCCCTTTCTATAAAATTCAAATTGCATGCGATTTTTTCTTATACATTCCTCTCTCTTATACACCACATGTTTCGTTTTAATCACATATTTAAAGCGACTTGAAGCGCGAGAAACTGATAATTATAATTAATTAATTAGAAATTTCTTCAAATCAGATACAAATCTAAAAAGTAAACATCTATTGGCTAATTAATACGAGAATATAGGCGAGAAAGACGTTTCTCCGATTTCATTATTTTTCTTTGCAATCTCGTACGTTTCTCTAATCTACTTTACAGCCCGTTGCTCTCTAAATTGAGATATTGTATCGCGGCAGAAGTTTGGTCGAAGAAGTCTGCTGCCGACGTCTTGACGCAATCTGGTATAGCTATTTTCACCTCATCACCGCTGTTGAAGGAACCGCTAAAAATTTCTTCTAGCGAAAACCCAACCGGAAGTCAGTGGGTGAAGGAATTTCAAACGCCACAACAATTCAATAGCGATGATGAGGTGAAGACAGCCGTACAGGCCGAGACAGTAAAAGCAGACTTTCTTTATTAACAAATAAAAAGACCATCAACAATTCTTTCATTTATCGTTTTGATACTTATTTTCCGATATTTTCGCATTTTACTCTTCTCCTGTGTAATATTTCAATACGGACTGACATGCGAATAACGAAAAAACAAATGTTGGAAATAAAATTATAATTAAATGTAGAAAGCCGTTAGTAATAAAAGTGCAATTCATATTATTTCTTGTTCTAAAATTAAAAAAATAAAATTATAATTCAATGTAAATGTAGAATTGTTAGTGAAAATACATATAATCCATATTATATTTCTTATTATAAAATTAAGTACTGCAAACATCATTAAATTCCGAGAATGATCGGAAAACGTTAATTGAATTCGTGCAATCGCGATGCAATATTTCATGTCAACTTTTCGCAACGCAAGGTTGCAATATCGAACTGCAATTTGAAAATAGCGTCTGCAGTTGGCGATTGCACGGGCGCGCGGTCGATACGCGTCGCGAATCACGAAGTTATCATTAGTAATTAAGTTTCAATTTCAATTGATCGATCTCCGAGAAGGCGTTCACTTGCTCGCGATGCCTAGCAGGCCGCGGTGCGTTTGCGCGAGAAACGTCCAGCGGCAAATCGACCCGCGAAAAAAGCGACCAATGAACGGAAGCAGACAAGCCGCAGGTCTGGCTTCGGATATTTATACTCTGACACGAGATTTAATATTTATTTGTTCTCATATTCACCTAGCACTCGCTTGCATATGCATCTTTAATCTTGTTTTTAATTTTACTCTATTTTAGTATTGATATAATATTTAAACTATTTTTTATTTACAAGTAAGACGTCGCGAAAAACATATACATGTACAATATTCAATTTATAACCATAAAATATTCTATTAATGCTTCTTGTGTATTCGCTTCAACCATATATATGTCAAAAACTTGAAAATATTAATTTTAAACTAAAAAAGATTCAACTTTTTACTAAATTTGTTTTCTCAATTTGAAGTTAAGAGTAATTTCTAGATTAATTTTCTCAAATTTGCAAAGGGACGGCCCGCACGAGCGTGAAAATCGTTGCCGGACCGAGTACTTCACGTGCTCCGATTTCTCGACGGGAAGCGTCGCGCCTACGAGAGCACCCTGCGAAACTCGGCCCTGGTGGGGACGGGTTGGGTGGTAGCGTCGGAGACGCGAGCGTCGAGGCGCTCCATGGAACGAGGGCCGGTCGGTCGGCCTCAGTGATCTGCACGATGCCGCCGTGATCGTACGGCATCGTACTCTTTTCCTGGCGACACGCGGCACGCATCACACACGTGGCACCCACACACCGCGTCCGCGCGCGCTCCTGCCTCCTGCGGCGCGACACCACGTCCCCCGACGTCCCTCGCACCGACGCGTTGAGAAACCGACCCGGGGGAGAAACGACGCCCGCCGACGACACCCGCGCGCGACAACAAATGCGTCAGTGATCCCGCCGTTGGATATATGCCCGGAGAAGGTATACCTGCGGCGATGCACGCGACGATCGACCATCGGGGTTTCTCCCCGTGGTCGTGCGGTAACGCGGCCACCGCGCGCAAATCCCGGGATTAGAAAGGCCACCCGCTGACCCCGTGAACCCGTGACACGATACAGCTGTGTGCCGCGATAGCTTATACAGTTTTTTCCGCGAACGCGAGTCCGATCGGCATCCAGGAAGAGCGTTGTCTTCTCACGATAGCGTCGCAAGGATACAAAGATAAAGCTAACGTAACGTCGAATCGCGTGCACGATGTAATGTTAGACCGTATAGTGATAATTGTCACGACGACTCGTAACTGTTTTGCAACAGATCTAGGATTCTAACGTATTCGTGATACGGTATTGCGAGAGCCGCAGATTACCTTAATGTAACTGAAACCTCGTGTCACTTGATAGCAATCGCAATTAATCAAATTTTCTTCCATTATACATTACTGCCACAATACCGTAAACTACAGAATCACAAAAAGTTAAAGTATATCAAGAAGTTAAAGTATAGTTGGAATTTATCGTTAGTTAAAACTAGGCCTGAAGTTAACAACCTTAAACGGTTAATCGTTAAATAATTCAGCCGACTTGCTCCCTTTCGGTCTTTAGAAAGGGGTGGAAGTCAAATTGCATCCGACAATACGGGTTAATTAACTGCAAGTTAGACGTTCTCAGTGTTCTCACTATCTCTTTGTACAGGATAGGTCTGCCAACAAAGTTGCGAAGAAAGAAATGAGCTAATTGAGTCAATGTTAATTGCTATAACCGGCCCGTCTAAAGTAAGGTCAAAATTAATTGCCATTGGAAAGAATGAAATTTTATATCTGCCATTTGATTCCTTTAATATCTCTCTCGCGGCTTGTCCGTTGACGATTATGATGTGTCAAGGCTGATTCTAATAAACCGATCCTTGAAAGAGAACAATTGCAAAAGTTCCCGACGATTTCTATATAAAATGAGCGCGACCGTACATCCTTCTTTTATTATTCGATCTATTTCCAGTCAATTACCAAGTCACAACGTGACTAATACAATCTGATTATTTAGTCGATATTTTGTTAAGCCAACGCTTATACGCACATGAATCCGCTTCGTGCGCAAATATTGTCTCGACCTAACCTAATTTTACAAGCAATATCGTTTACATTAAATGAAGAGAAGATTGCTCTTTAATAATTTTAGTAATTTTACCCATCGCCATCTTGCAGCTTGACATTGACATTTATTACGATTTATTAAAAACTTTTAATCGGCCAGCTAAGTCTTTCTAGAAACAGCTTGCAGCAGCTTTTCCCGTTCTCGAGTCACTTATCTGTCATATTATCTTTTATTGACAAAATTTTAGTCATGATGATAATAGACTAATGCTTCAACCAACATTTGCCGCTGTCACATGCTTCAGCAATGAGTTCTTATCCCGCATACACAATGCAAATGTAATCGTGAATTACAAATCAACGGTTCCATTCACGTCGAGATCAAAGATCGTTCCCTTCGCTGTGAGAGCGAACCGTTTCCCCCGTCGTAGATCTCACGGAAAACATAAGTCACATGCACACGGAATCGCCTAGGCTTATGTAATCTAATGCTGAAATCCTGGCGCTAGTATGGATCCGTTTCGCATTGTGTCGCATGAAGATGGCCTGTATATTCATGAATAAGATAAATTCCGTATTATAATATATTCTGCATTATATTCATTTGCACTGACATTACGCAAGGGAGTTATCGTTCTGACTGATATAATTCTCAATTTCTCGTAATATTGTTAATGCGTTATTACGTTATTACGTATAGTGCATCTTATCGCACATGGAATTATTCGTTTAAAAAAAGGAAACATTTATCCGACTGTTTAGTTGACTTGAATAAATTTTTCCATGACAACGAAGCAGGAAAAGCACATTTTACTGATTGCATCGAGTCTATATAGCGAAGACTAGAGTTACGTAAAGATTATGTGATTGCAAACGAATGACACAATAGATTATCTGAAACGGTATGAAACGGAAAAAAGTCATTTTTGCGTTAAAGATCGACCGACTGATATCGGTAGTAATGATATTGCAACATTGGACGCAGTAAACGAGTCTATTATACATTCCATAGAAATAGGAAATAGTGAAACAATTACACTCAAGATATCTCACTAACTAAACAAGATTGTAACTATAATTATTTTCGTACTATATTATCAATGTATATGTATCGATAGCGATTCTTTTTAAACTCGGCAAAAAAGCAACATCTACAATTCATCGTATACTTTATTATATCTGTAGCGCTGATAAATGCTGATACTATGAACTTATTGCTGAAACACGCTTACTTCATGAAGCCTGGAATTTGATATCGTGTACGTACTTTTGACGCAACACTTCCGCAAAAAAAGTTCGCATACGCCCTACTAAATCCTCCTCGCAACTGTGCAATTTTTCTTTTCGGCTCTTTTTACCTGCCCAGCGCAACGCGAGCAATATATCAACGCGAAACTTGTTTCGAGAAAAGCGAGATTTATGTAGCCTATACACTCCGCGCTTTATTCAATAATTACACATCTCTCATTTTCCATCTGCGATTATCCTTCTAACGAGAAACATTGTCTCATAAAGTACCAGCAATAATTACATGGAATTGCGAAGTAGAATACTATGACGCATCGAGAACCGGTTTTATTTATTGACAAGTTCTTATTTGTTAGATCTTTTCCTCATTGCTTCAGATAGTTCTTGATACGTTTTTATTGCGTATGAAACTCGAGCTTCCTCCTCACGAACAATGACTAATTCGATCGTTCTTACATATCACAATATTATGACGCTTCGTTATAACGGTCGGCATAACCAAACGGAATGGAATACAATGACGAATACCGACGAATATCTGCATGGCCATTAGACGTTCCAGCCAGACGCATGAGACGCATTGCACGATTATGCCAACGTCGTGAAAGTCAAACTGCGAGCGGAATCATTCACGCCGTCGCGTCGTTACCGCGCTGACATACTGACCGTGAGAATTTCTGCAGCGCGCGAATGCCTTATCGCGTGGATGCGGTCACATTTCCGCGGCTCCACTGGCTGCTCTGGCGCGCGAGTACTCGCGATCTCGATACACGGACGGGCGCATACCGGCACCGGGAAATGCGAAACTGATTACCCATTCCATCGGACTGGCGCGCGCCTTCTTCTCACGTCGTCTGTAACATTCCGCGAATAAACACGGCGCTCTTATGTTTCCTACAATCCTCTTCGCCGATCTAATTATTGTAGTCTGCGTCATCAACTTGAGTATTCTTGAGCCGTCCCGATATACGTCTTTATATACAAACTATTCTCGATATGCTATACAAAATTAAAAAGATTAAAAAAAAATTAAAGATTAAAAACTATAGAAAATATTTATATATTTAAAAGAAAATCCGGCCTTTTTTAAATCGAATAATGTAAAGTTTTTTAATCGAAAATATTGCAAAGTTTGTGTTTAATTAAAATGTGTCAATATGCGGAATAAATATCCACTCGTCACAGGTGCGTCATTGTCGTTTTTCCCAAACACCGTGGGCGTTAGGACGAAATGCACGTCAATGTAACGAGAATTGTTTACGAGAATTCTAAAAGAGGTTTATAACTGATTGAGCTGTGTCGAATCGACCGTGTCGAACGTCGAATTGAACGTCAGGACACATCGCGCGAGGACGTAATAATATAGGTATTTGTCAACGTCGCTACGCTTCCTTGCCGAAGCGGAACGCGCCTATACCGAGGAGCAAAAATAAAATCCATTTTAGGGATAGATAGCGGTGTAGGAACCAATACGGTCCCCAGCCAATTTCCCGCGCTAGTCCATACACCTATTATAGCCCTAAATCGACCTCATTTATGCTCCCCAGTGTACACAATGTCTACAAAACAAACCGCACGAGCCATAATTCTATCTTGCCGTGAAGTAAATATTATTTACACTATCGACTTTGAAAACAATTGTTACCCGCTAAAGCAAGCAACGATACGTGCGTAGTCATCAGATGCGAGAGCTACAAATCGCGGAGTGATGAACGCTGAATAATTTCCATGATCGGAGCATAATACCCGAGCTGATGTGTGCAACAGCCTAACGCGTTTACGCTCGCATTCACGGAACAGCCCGTTTATCACCTAATCTCGAGCGTCCTCGTTAACGAGATTCGAAGTATCGGTGTCGCGAGCGATCGACAGACAATGCAATTAACGTAATGGCCCGCGGAGACGCGCGACTCGGTGATTAATTACAGCGAATTCGTTACGCAGGAAGCGCCGTAGATATATGGTAACCGCTCTAAACGTATTTGCAGTCCGATATGAGTACAGACGGAAACACGTTCTCCGGGAGAAGATGACACCACGTCGGCGCGTCTTGGCAGGAATTCGCCGTGCTATTTTTGCCGCTGGTGTCCTGGCGCTCATCATCCTGGTACTGTCGGGCCAGGATGGCACCAACACCCTGCAGCACGGGAATTCGCTGGAGGTGAGTTACAGAGAGTTTTTTTACCGAGAGGTTTTATCACTCGATAATTACGCGAATGTTTAACGTCCTAGAAATCTGCGCCCCATATGTTTCGGATAACATTCGAATAATTCGAGTATTAATATATATTAATTAATATATATAATATAATAATTTATGGAACTCGAATTAAAGCCAAACTATATATTATCGTGGATCGTTTAACATTAGCATGTTTCATTCAATAACTTCAATAGCATTCTCCATATAAAGTTTCAACAAAAAGTACTCAAGCATATCGAACTCGCGCCAATTTTCAATGTTATACAACAAAAAATTGCAATGCTCTGACTGTACAATATCAATTTTAATTCTCCCCGTAATTGCGCGCGCCGGATTCCATTTTTAAGCCGTCATTCAACCAAATATTTACCTCTATTAAACGCGCTGGAAAAGTGTTATTTCAAAAAGGCATGCTTTACATTGCCAACATAACAGAAATTCGTGTAAAAAAAAAAAGTTGATTTTGAGGGAACGCAGAGTTCTGTGCCGGTTTCCTCGATTCCAGGGAGACCGAAAACGTTTGCCTTACGTAAAGCGCAACGACCATAGATTGGCACATTTCCAGGCGCAATGCGGTACATGGATCAGTGCCCGCCTGATATGGCCCATTTAAATGTCCGAAAAAAGAGTTAAAGTTACTCCTGAACACAATCATATCGCGATTGTCGGGAACGCATCTATATACCCATTAAATCTCTCGACATGAGATTTATCAGACAATTATATAAATATATACATGTACGTTTCAATATAGGAACATTATGATCGATCTAAATGTGTCACCGCAACGTAAGCTCTTCAATATCAAATAAATTTCGATTATTTTCAAAGAAAATACATCGCTAATAAGAAAACTTTATAAAAAGTTATTTAACAGAAAAATTTATCGATGTGAAATATAAAAATTCCAAACAAAATTTGAAATGTAACGTTACAAAAATTTTCTATAATCGTATAATCTGAAAATGATTTTCGTTCAACACCATAAAACTTTTGTAAATAATCGGCCTGATTTTCTTCAGTGAACATTTTTTTTATTCATACGAAAATTAAGGCAAATGGGAATTGGAGTTATTGGTACGCAATTTTTGATTTATACAAAATCTACTTTATTCTCACGTAAAAGTAATAAAAAGTTTCCTTTTTAAACATCCTTAATGACATTTGATAAACTCTCGCTCTTTTTTAAAAAAAAGAACGTTTGATTTTTACGTGAGAATGAAGTAGATTTTGTATAAATCAGAAATTACGTACCAATATCTGCAATTCTCATTTGGCTTGCTTACTTATCGTATTTTTAATTCTGAGAATCTTGTTAGAATTTTATTATTTTTTTTATTAACAAAACGTAACGACAAATAGATCATAAGACGAAAGGAGAAACATATATAAGATCGGAAGAAAGCATTATATTTCACAGGATCAACGAGATTATCCGCTTTAGATAATGTATAATGCCGAAAAGGTTTCTACGTGTCGGGGCATTCGCATGATAAGTTGCGGTCATCACACACGCGTATAACACTCCATATTTTTGCTATGAAGTGCTCAAGCGCATAAGCCGGAAAGTCAAGCGTTGGAAAAAATTAATACTGACAGAATCGCGAGGTAGAAATTTGTGTTGCAACGCATACAATTTTTTTTTTATAGAAACAACGTATAATTGTCTTTATTAACAAAGTTATTCTCTCACGAAATAAAAATTGAATCAGAACGTATAGCGTAACGTTTCACAGTCAGAGATGCAAAAACCAAAACGCGGATTGAAGTTAATCAGAAATGAAACAGTAACGGAAATGGAAAGCCAACGGTAATTAAAAGCGAAAATAATAATTCGGACGCCATCTAAATAATAAAGATGTTTTTATCCGAGAGACATTAATTACTTATTACACCTTAATGTGCCGAGCGAAAATGTAAATAAAACAGGCAAAAACAGTTACAAATAACGGAGGGAAAAAATTGCAGCCGCGTAGCGGTTGTTACACAATACCGAAATAAAGGGGACGTGTTGCGGAGGAAGACTCTCGAGTAAATCCGCAACGCCGCTATTTCCCCCTTACAACAAAGTACTTGAGCCGCGACAAGTGATTGCACTTTGAAAAGCTGCCTAACCGGAAATTTGTCCTATCGCTAAACAACATTGGCACCTGTTTCAACGTAAATAATGCATGAAAAATACCGGGAAGAAAAATAACGGCGATCCGCCGCGGTGCGGCGGCGGCCCTATAACACCTCGCAGAAAGGTGGCAGGCTGCACGTGCATGCACGATGCGCCAGTGCATAAACGTGCGCGATGCGCCACCACCCTCCGTGGCCCACATTCGTCGCCGCACAAGGCGCGTTCCACATCGAAATCAATAAGCGGAAGCCGGTAGTTCTGCATTCGGTCTTGCCAGCTCGCCGCACTACAATGCGATATCGATGCCGAACCACTACGCCGGGGAATCGAGGGAAGAAATCAGTTTTTAACGGTTTCCCTTCCCTCTCCGCGCCCGGGTCTCGCTCGCCCTGCGGAGTTTCCGCACGATCGCAATCAGTTTGTAGCAATCTAAATTACTAATCCTCGGAAACCCGACGGGGCTGACGCAAGATATTTGATTTTGTAATTGACTGAATTTTGTAACTGAAAGATTTCTATCCCCCTTGCGAGCGGTAGAACCGTGTCTCGGCAGAAATTTCAATGTAAATATGAATGAGCGACGTGCGAAATAAAGCACTGATAAGGATGACGTAAATCAAACGATATATATATACACCGTTCCGGAGCATCTTGGAAACCAATTTCTCGAAAGTACTGATGATTCATGAAATCGTACAAATTTACCATCTTATTTGCGACACGGATTCTCTGAATGTGTCTCTTAATATAGTACGCAAAATTGCCTCTTGCAGCCCGTCGGCACACATAAATTTGTCACTTGTAAATGTATATTATGTTTACCTACAAACATGTAAACTAACACACTTGCATTAATTAAATATAAATATCAGAAAATCTACTTTAATTAAATATTTTCCTCGAGAAAGAGAAATTAAATATAAAGAGCGCTTAATTATGTTGAAAGCGACGCGAGAGACGCGTTAAAAAAGAAAGATGCGCTCATAAGTGGCATGATCTCCAATTTAAATGCAAATCACGTTCGTGCACTCGTCGAGCATTTCAGCGGCAATGCGGCGCGTATATACTCGGTAAACGCATAGACACGTGTTTAAATTCTAATTGCAGGAATTAGGGAATTGGATTAACCTTACGAGTCGCGAAGAAGGTCAATATACGTGCAGGTCGCAGCGGTGGTCTTGCACGGCAGTCGCGTCGCGATTCGCGTATACATGGACTCTTCGGGCTCAATCGATGATCCGCGGCTCTCTAAACTTTTCGCATGTGCGCGATTCCAGGCGGGATTCAAGCCATAGTTATCGCTCATTATCGCGTGATCACCTGTATTCTCATTACCGCATAATTATCTGCGTCGTAATCGAGCGCTGTTCTATACATCGGATGGCGAGAGGATCATATTCATTCGTAATTCTATTCGACGCGTTACCATGTCAAACAAATCTTTTTTTTTTTTTTTTCCTTTCAATTTCCATTGAGCGGATAATGTAATAACCTTGTACCTACGCGTAAACGAGGTTACTCGCTGTAAATGATAATAGAATAATAGCCGGCGGAGTAATAATAATTAAATTGTCACGTAAAAAGCGTTGTATTACTGTGAAAGCATTACAAAGATTACGCGAAACAATCGAGCGCCATACTCGTCGACCCTTACTCGTTTCTTACATGATACGTCATATATCATAACGTTAGTGCCTCGCGTCAGGGTCCAATTCATAATTCAGTATAGCACCAGGCTCATTTTATAGTTCATCGCAGTAGTCTCTAATACATTAACCGCCCACTAACTATTAATTTAGGTCAAGTTAACGGTAAATGACAGTAGTAACATTTCTTGACACTCCTATAATTCTAATTAATGGCGCGATAACGAGGTGACATCGTTAAACGGAGCAGTAGAGCCAGCGTTGCTACGTAATATAGGATATCGATTACGTCCTTTCGCATCAGTCTAATTGTAAGTCTCGCAAATTGAGGAGCTTTATACGTATTTCGGCAGGACGCGAACCTGACGCCGGAGGAGAAAATATTGGAGCAGATTACGACGGCGGAAACCGAACAACGTCTAACGGCCAGGCGAAAATTCCTGGCGGAAAAATGCACCGAGGAGGGGCTCGATCGTCCTGGCAACGACTCACTTCACAGGCCGAACGCCTGGGAATTTCTTGTAAATAGAGAATACCATCTTATATGGTGCAACGTTTTCAAAGCGGCGTCTACGTCGTGGATGTATAACTTTAATTTACTTGCGGGGTAAGTCGTTTAATGTAACTAAAGTTTCCCGGCGAAAACGATGAAAACGAACACGACGGGGATAAAAGTATACCGCGTAATTCATTTATCGCTGCAAATTGCAAATTGCGAGATACGATCGTAAAAAGATAATTAATTAAAAATAAATACTTAATTATTTTTTAATTATCCCCGAACTCGTGTAAAGAGTTCTCTGTTTCTTCTGCTCTTATCGTCAATTCGCTAAAGCATTAACCGAGTTATTGAACGACGGGGCTGGTTGTATAATTGCTAATAACGAACGATATGATTAATCACGGATGAATAATCGTTATTGCGCTTAATCGACTTTGCAGATACAGCCCGCAATTTCTGAAAGCCTCCAAAGCAGTGCCAGTCTCGCTGGCCAGACAGAGGTATCCCAGGCACAGCGCGGAAGAGCTAGCTAAATATCTAAACGACAGCATCAGTTTTTTGATAGTGCGGCATCCTTTCGAAAGATTGCTCAGCGCCTATCGAGACAAATTGGAGCACAGTCTGCCGCACACGTTTCACAGCAACCTCGGTGCACATATAGTGTGGCATTACAGGGCAAGGGTAATGTCTTCCGACGATTTTTACAAACGATAAAAATAAAAATATAGAAAGACGCGGATTAAATTAAAAAAAAAAATACGCGTGTGTGAAGTTAGCACCCAACACTAAAATTCTATAGTTCTGATTACAGTTTTCACTTCATTTTTGAAGAGACGAAGAGTTCCCTATAGTTTATAACAAGCCACTCAGAAGTATTTGATCATGAATTTTGATAAGAAGTTAGCACCCCAAAATTTTAATTTTAATTAAAAATTGTTAGTAAGCAGAACTCTTGTTATAAACTATACAGGAATTCTCGTCTCTTCAAAATTAAGCGGGAACTTTAATCAGAACTATGGAATTTTATTGTTGAGGTGCTAACTTCACACACAAAAAATACTTAGAATTTATTGAAAAATTTGGAATCAACTCTTCTTAATATTCAATATTGTGCAAATTCACGTTCATATTGATAAATTTGATTGATAAAATCACTAATGTCGAGCAAAGGATTTTAAGATAGAACTTTGGTAAAATATAGGATTCGAAGACGAATACAAGACAAGGGCCGAGATACCCGCTCTTCGAGGAATTCGTGCGATGGCTGTTATGCCAGTGGAGGGCGGGTAACGATCTCGACATGCATTGGACACCAGTTGTGAACTTCTGCACACCCTGCCAAGTACGATTCGACGTGATAGCTAAATTCGAGACGCTGCATGTAAGTAAATTTAGACGTCGGCTTCCTTGACTATCATAAGAGCTAACGAGCAATTTTTGAATTGTGTTTATATTATTAAATATCTAATTTGTAAAAATTAAACGAGATTGATTGTGTTTTTTGCTGAATCGAGAGAATGTGTCTTTGGCTGAATTCTCTTAAAACTATATCTCTTTCTTGTTAAAGGACGATCAAGACTATCTTATAAAGCAAGCTCATGTGGGACACATCATCAAACCCGAATGGAAAAATCCTACTAAGGGCGTCCAAACGAAAGATGTCATAAAAAATTATTTTACGCAATTATCCAAGACGCAGATCGAGGAGCTCTACGAGATGTTCAGGTAATGTTTGCAGAAACGTGGAATTTACATACGTCGCGTATGATATAAGACGCGAAAGTGTATGAATAATTACTTACAGCACTGTAAAATATAAAATTATTTTTATGATTCGCAGGTACGACTTCGTACTGTTCGATTACTCGCCAGATGAATATTTAGCATTTGGTAGAGACGAAATCACCACATTAACGTGCAAAAAATGAATCTCGGCATTTCGATGAGGTGAAATAGAAGATGAGGCATATACGACACACAACGAAATCGTAGATAGCGCTTAAATGAATTTGGAGAAGTAGGAAGTATGGCCGGTATTCATAGTCGACTATTATTTCAAAATCTACTAATGTCTTAAGATGCTAATACAGCTCTGTGATTGGCTTATAACATCTTAAGACTGTACTTAAAATGGTATTATCTAAAATATTATAAAAATCGACTATGTTACTCGATATATGCACAGTCGTTGACAGATCGGTTGCGACACTTTTTTTCTATAGGTTTCAAAACGCACTAATATTTTGCAAATGCGAACCACGATTGGTGTTATACTGTCTCTAGACTAAAGATAGTACATCGTGGTTCGCATTTGCAAAATATTAGTTACCTATAAAATATATATTATGTAATATATATTAAAAACCTATAAAAAAAGTTGCAACCGATCTGTCCACGACTGTACACAGTGCTCGATGCATTTCTTATACGGGACTATAAAAAGGAATGGAGGGATACACGTTCTGGTTTTATAATTTACATATAAACTGTGTTGTCACATATTGAACATTTTGATAGTGCGTTAAAGTTTATCGAATTGTTATACTGAAGTATAATCGAAGATAGAACACAATGAAACTTTGCGAACATGCAATTTGAACGTATATAGTTGTGCTTGCGTACTTACTTAAATTGTTAAAATAAACTAAAATTTATACAAATTTATAGCTTGGAGAAAGCATCATCGGTATTTGATCATTCAAAATTTTCAACTTTCTCAATTATCTTCCGTTTTAATAACGATTTAGATTGAGTTAGAATTCTGCTAATAAATAAAAGTTGCTGAAGCCTTTAAAATAGAAATGTGCAATAAGATCGACTTAAGAAAAGGCTAGATTGAAAGAATTTTAGTACGTGACACACGCGTGATTTGAACAGAATTTGTGATAGCCTCAGTTTTGCAGTAAAGCAATAAGAGTATCTAATTATGCCACCGGGAGTTGTCCTGACAACTGCACAATAATCTTTGTAAGCATAAACGTAGTACCCACTATAACGATGGTAATAGTACTGCCTCAAGGAAACATGGTGCAAAAAATATTAAGGGAAACTAACTTATCACATCACTTTAAGATGCAAACATTTTTGTAGAGAGTTGCGTTATTCCGAGGAATAATAAAACCGAGTATATACATATATATATTTCCGAGCAACGATACTGAATCAGCAGTATATTTGCGTTTTCGCTACAGTAGAAATTTCGATTGATATATAATTGGACATTTAAAGTTTTGTGTCCCAAGTGAAATATTTGTCTGCGTGATCGCCAAATCACTCAAATTGATTGAATTCGAATGACGTAAAAGTGTCTCGAATAAACGTTACGAATTTCTATACTCGTAAAATAAAACACATTGTTGAATAAACAAACATTTGTACGACATTCTATGTGTACAATCTTTATCGATCCCTCCTACATTTTTCTGCAGCTATACATATATAAATATACATTCCATTATTTATTATATATTGTCCCATATTTATTCTAGTTCGATATCTTTCCTACTTCTCTCTTCGCTTTCATTATATGGCCAGATTAGACCAAATGTGACAACTAACAAAAAACTCACCAGCAGGATCTGTTGTGCAATTCTGCTCCAATAATCCATTTATCCTGAAGAACACATTGCCACTGCGAGGTCAGCTCTAAAATTTTCTCTGTGCAATTATTCCTTTTACGTTGCTGCTTTTTTAAATCAGATGTGCATACAGGTACTCCATCGGCAGTGTACATCTGTATATATAAAATAAACTGTAATATTATAATTAGATATTCCATATCGCCAGTTAACACAAACAATTAATTGTGATACTAATATACATTGAATGCAGTAAAATTAATCCTCTAATGCTCTCGCAGAAATAAAGACAAAAAAAAATTTGAGGATTTAATAACATAAATATAAAATTAGTCTCTTATTCTTTTATTTGAAGAAAGACGTACAAAACAGGAGAATTACTATTTGTTTTTTTTATAAGGACTTAAATTATTTCTCACAAAGATTAAGCTTTTCATTTTCAATTCAATCGGCGGGACTAAAAAAAATCAAAAGAATATTTATCATAGAAATTTATGGACATTCCGAAAATGTAACAGTTTGCCGATATTGTAACAATGCATCAAAAATCAGGGATGGCAGCTTTGCTGCTGAAAGACTGCTGCATTAAAGCGTAATGTCGAGACCAGCTCGAGAGCACAAAGGGTTAAAATTAAAAAAGCGTAAATGTCAATTATCGAATATAACATCGCTCGATCACCTCGCTATCCGAATCCGAGTTCGCGTCCTTCCCGTGAAGCGCGTGCCGTTCCAGAGCGTTCAAAATGCGCGCATTGGTCGCCTTCGTCTCGGCGATCTCGTTCGTCGCGACGTCGATCCTACCCTCGACGTTGGCGAGCAGCTTCAGCAGGTGCTCCTCGACGGGGTTCACCGGCGCGATCCGCGCCGGCGACGGCGTATCCTCGTCGCTGATAGCGAACATATCCTCGTCGCCGGACTCCATGGTCTCCATTGTCCCCTGCGAGTTCCCGTTCGCGTCCTCGAATGCCTCGCGTACCGGATATCTCCGGACGACGCCGAATCGGAGCAACGCGACGCGTAACAATTCCGCGCGTAACAATCGCGCGACAACTTTCCCGAGTAGCGCGTTTGGCGAAAATGACGAAAGCGCACCTGTGACCCGATCATCGACACTCGTATGCACTCGAGCGGACTGGCGGGCTCGTCGTTGCGAAAATTTCAAACTAACAACAAGAAGAGATCAGTGACAGGACTGCGGGCAGGATGGCCAACGGTATCGTCACGTAGCGCCAACGTTAACAGGACAAAATTATACTCAATGTCTCAATACCGACGATGGGAAAGCGAACCTGAGAAGAGTTTATCGGTCGGCAACGTCGACGCTCTGCAGCCGTCATCTGGCTCCACCTGACAATCGCGACGAGGCCTTTGCTTACGGTCGCGAATGGTCGCGAATCAGCTATATAGCTCCGGAGTGCTCCGACACCTCTCGTCGGCAGGCTGTGGTGGTGGTTACGTCGCGGAAACGCGGAACGTCGCTGCGGGCCGGGGGCCAATAGCAGCTTCCCTAGCAACCCATCCGTTCGCGGCCCGCCCGCCCGCCCGCCCGCGCCCGCGTGTCTATCCGTCGGTCGGTCCCCGTCTACCGTCTATCCTTTCGCCCCGTCCGTCCGTGGCTCCGTTCGTGGCGTGCGTTACAGACAGCCGGACGTCCGCTTGGCGTGGTGAAAGAGAGAGAAAATGTGCCTGCCCGTCCGTCGCAACTGCGTCGCGGTGCCTGTCGTCTTCGGACGGCGCGACAGCGTGAAAATGGCGGTGTGAAGAGAGATGGCAGGACGCAGATCGACGCTGTCGAATGCGGCGGACTCGCTGCCGGGATCGGGCGGCGGCGGCGGCGGCAGCGGCAGCGGCGGTGGCGGCGGCGGCGGTGGAGGCTGCGGCGGCGGCGATCCGCTGCGTGAACTCTTCGAGGCCTGCAAGACCGGCGATCTCGCCAAGGTGAAGGCGTTGGTCAACCCGAAGACGGTCAACGCCCGCGACACTGCCGGACGCAAGTCACCCCCCTGCACTTCGCAGCTGGTGAGTCGGGTTCGGGTGATCCGCGAGATCCAGGGGTGGGGGGACCTGGTGTCTCCGCTCCACCTCATCCTTGATCGCACCTTCCTCTCGGTTTGCTTCGGAGTCCTCGCGAAACACGTGTACGCTGGCCGAGGGAGGTTAATGAGCTCAGCGAGTTACGTTCAGCTGATCGCGGCTTGTCAAAGTGGAGAGCTGTCAAGCTGTAATCGTGTGCGACGACTTCCCCGTTGTCGACACATGATTGTCGTTGGGAGACGCGCGCTTGGGAGAATCTTGGATGAATGTGTCTGTGTAGAAATTTTTTTAGCGAGAATAGAAGAGAGTAAAGAAGTAAATTTTAGATAGGTTATTGGAGAGAATTCTTTTCTCCAGATTTTCGACGAGTAAGAACTCCATTTACGAACAGTGAACACCAATATATTTATTTCCTTTCTCAAGTTAGCATTTTGTATTACAATACTTTTCGGATTATTGTAAATGTATAGCTGTTGAGAAATAAAGTTTGCAAACTTGATATATAATTATATTCAATAAGTAATTCAAATCTTAACAAAAATGATTGCATTAATGCTCCATATAGTTTAAATCAACATGTTTGTATAGCAAAAAAATATATCCTTAGGAACTCTCATAACTTTTTAAAAGTAGGAATCTACATGTCATTAGAATTTAATAAAACTGACAGGTGTGATTATGTATGCAAGATGATTGCTCATAAATATGCATGAATCATTTTTCATTATTCTCATCACTATGTATTCTCTTTACTAGTTTTTTTTTTGTATATGCAATTATGTGTATCTTTAGAGGCTATTATAAAGATATTAAATGTGTATTAGATAACATTCAAATACATTTCTCACAGGATATGGTAGAAAGGACGTTGTAGAATTCCTTCTGTCTGCCGGCGCGTCGATCCAAGCGCGCGACGACGGTGGTCTACATCCACTACACAACGCATGTTCCTTTGGGCACTGCGACGTTGTGAGATTACTGTTGGAGGCAGGAGCGAGTCCGAATACGAGAGACAATTGGAACTTCACGCCTCTGCACGAGGCGGCGATCAAGGTGCTTATTTTGTGGCACTTACATGACTTTCATCAATAACTAAGGGCTGAAGATGGAAATGGTGTCTAACTTTTTCATCTTCATTTGTACTCGACAGGGTAAAATAGACGTATGTATTACTCTGCTACAGCACGGAGCAGATGTAAACATTAGGAATACAGAAGGAAAGACTGCGTTAGAAGTAGCGGATATCTCTACAAAACCGGTACTAACGGGAGAGTATAGGAAAGATGAGCTCTTAGAGGCGGCTAGATCGGGAAATGAGGAACGATTGTTGCAGTTGCTAAATCCTCTTAATGTCAATTGTCACGCCAGTGACGGAAGAAGATCTACGCCTTTACATTTGGCGGCTGGATACAATAGATCCAGGGTTGTACAGATTCTTCTTCAGAATGGCGCAGATGTGCATGCCAAGGATAAGGGGTTAGTGTATGCAAGCATCTAGCTTATAAATTAATATATATATCTAATGTAATAAGAAAGTAAAGGAGATCGCGCTTCTTTAGTCTATTCAAATTTCTTCATTATATAGTATTTGATTTTTATTTCCATTTTTAGTGTGACTCTTGTCATTTAAGCAATCGAGATCCATTGAAATCCTAATCGACTTATTTACAGAGGTCTCGTGCCACTTCATAACGCTTGTTCGTACGGCCACTTTGAGGTAACCGAGGCGCTTCTGAAGCACGGTGCCGCCGTTAATGCCAGTGACCTCTGGACATTCACTCCGTTGCACGAGGCCGCGAGTAAGTCCAGAGCGGAGGTCTGTTCCTTGCTGTTGAGCGAAGGCGCGGACCCGACGCAATTAAACTGCCATAGTAAGAGCGCCATCGACGTGGCACCGACCCTCGAATTGCAAGAAAGACTAGCGTGTAAGCGTTCCGAGCGGATCTATCGTACCTTCCTCTCATTCGATTCGTAGATATTTAATTGTCATACATACTTCACTCAATCGATGTCCGATGTGCTCACCTTACAGATGAATACAAGGGTCACTGTCTATTGGACGCCTGCAGGCAGGCAGATCTTGCTAAGCTTAAAAAGTATCTGTCGCAAGAGATCGTTAACTTCAAGCATCCCTACACCGGCGACACACCGATGCATTGCGCAGTGGCGTCACCGTACCCGAAGCGGAAGCAAGTTATCGAGGCCTTGATACGAAAGAACGCTGCCATGAACGAGAAGAATAAAGACTTCCTCACGCCGCTTCACGTGGCGACCGATCATTCGCATTACGACGCGATGGACATACTGCTGCGGCATAATGCGAAGGTCAACGCGCTCGACGGCTTGGGGCAGACCGCGCTGCACAGGTATCTTTGTTCTGGAAAGCCACTCGTCTCGATCTCGCCGTCGCGGGAAAGAAAAATGAGCGAGCTAGTTTTGACAGTTTGTTCATAATACGTCAATTAATTATTTCCTTACTAGGTGCGCTAGAGAGGATAACGTACAAGCTTGCAGAATACTCTTGTCGTACAACATCGACCCTTCGATAGTGTCCCTTCAGGGATACACCGCGGCACAAATTTCCGCCGAGAACGTATTGAAAATATTGCAAGGTGAGGCGCACTCGATCTGATTTCGCAATTTATTTCTTTGGGGGAACATTTTTCTCTTCATGTTTCATTACGCGTAGATCCGCCGAATGGGACCGACGATGTGGAGGCCCAGCTCTTGGAGGCGAGCAAGTCGGGCGATCTTTCTGCGGTAGAGAGAATCTTGCAGGCCAATCCACATGCTGTGAATTGCCGCGATTTGGACGGAAGGCACTCGACCCCGCTGCATTTTGCAGCGGGTTTCAATAGAGTGCCGGTTGTAGAGTACCTATTAGCACACGGCGCAGATGTGCATGCCAAAGACAAAGGGTAATTAATTCAATATTAATGCGACGGAACACGAGAACAGAATCTAAATTATTCGTTGATTTAATTATTAATATTTACATAGTATTAGTTGTTTTTTTTTTTTTTAAGATATTCTATAGTTCAGTATTCATTTTTATGCGCAATTTAAAATACTTTAAATAATTTTGAATATTATATTTATTTTTATACAGTGGATTGGTTCCTCTCCACAACGCTTGCTCTTACGGCCACTACGAGGTTACGGAATTACTAGTGAAACACGGGGCGTCCGTGAATGTTGCCGATCTATGGAAATTCACGCCGCTCCATGAAGCCGCCGCCAAGGGCAAATATGAGATAGTCCGATTACTGCTGAGACACGGGGCGGATGCCACCAAAAAGAACAGAGACGGCGCGACGCCATTGGACTTGGTGAGAGACGGTGATCAGGATGTGGCGGATCTCCTGCGTGGAAATAGCGCACTTTTGGACGCGGCGAAGAAGGGCAATTTGGCCAGAGTTCAGAGACTGGTCACGCAAGACAACATTAATTGCCGGGACGCACAAGGGCGCAATAGTACTCCGTTACATTTAGCCGGTAATGCATCACTTCTGAATACGCATAAGAATCAATAATCTCACCTTTCTATTTTTAAAGATTTAAATAGCTTCCTTATATTCTCTCTTTTTTTTTTCGTTTTGTTTTGCCATAGATTTGTAAAATGTGTTACGCTGTGATTTTAATTCAAGCTTTTAGAAATCAAAATAGAGAGATTTTGTACATTCACATCACAGACTTTGTTCTTTTCTTAACGCAGCGGGCTACAATAACCTGGAAGTGGCTGAATTCTTGCTCGAACGTGGAGCCGACGTAAACGCGCAAGATAAAGGCGGCCTTATCCCTCTGCATAACGCGTCGAGTTACGGTCACTTGGACATCGCGGCCTTGCTCATTAAATACAACACTGTGGTAAATGCGACCGACAAGTGGGGATTCACGCCGCTTCATGAGGCCGCGCAGAAGGGTCGGACGCAGCTGTGCGCCCTTCTGCTCGCTCACGGCGCCGATCCTTTTTTGAAAAATCAGGAAGGACAGACGCCGGTGGATTTGGCCAGCGCGGACGACGTGAGATGTTTACTGCAAGATGCTATGGCTTCGCAGCAAATCGTTCCATCCGTGCCGTCGGGCAACATGAGCAGCGCCGGCAATACTATTAACAGTAGACCACCTAGTATCGTATCCGGTAAGAATTGTTTCCAATTAAAGTAAACGTACCAGTGACTGAACATGTATCTATATCGGTACACAAAAAACTATTTTTAAGTGCTTTTTTCATAATATTATAATATTAACTGTAATCTTTAAATATTTTTACAATTAAATTTTGATATTATAATAGAAAAAGCATTTGAGATTAATAAATTTTGTACGTACGTGTTCAGATATAGATACATGTTCGGTCACTGGTACATTTACCTTACAAACATTTTGAAACTTTCTGTCTAATTTAATTAAAATATAAACAGAGTTGGGAAAGTTACTTTGTAAAAGTAACTAGTTACAGTTTTTGTCTCTCGAAAAGTAACTAGTTACCATTACAAGTTACCGATTTTGAAAAGTAACATGTTACAGTTACAGTTACTCAAAAAGTAACGAATCGTTACTTTTCAGTTACTTTTAATAAAACAGCATTAGCATTATTTAAAAAAAAAGGATTGGTTTACATTTACATATTATATAATTTTATTTAAAAAAGAAAAGTAATGCGCGTATTTAAATATGAGCATTTAAATATTTCGCATAATTACAATCAACATTACGATTAGGTGATTGAGCAAAAATGTTGCATAATTTTGATCCATGAAAGTGACGATTTGACATATATAAAGTAACTGTAAAAATAACTATTAAATTAGTTACTAGTTACTTAAAAAATCTAACTAAGTTAAGTTACACATGGAAAGAAAGTAGAGTAACGAAATTAAGTTACAGTTATTGAAAAAAAGTAACTGTAACTTCGTTACAAGAAATGAGTTACTTCCCAACCCTGAATATAGACTACAGATTTAAAACACATGAAAATATATATATGGACTGCAGATATGAACACAGATGACATACAATATTAATACACTTATTATTATTCTCTTTCTTTTTTCTAGTTCCTGTTACACCGCCGCCGCCCCTCACTCAAGAAACAGTTATTATGCCATCTGGCGCAGCCATGACTCTATGCGTGCCACTGGCTCGCCCGACGTCGTGCCTGAGTCCAATGCCATCGAGCGAGCCGTGCTCCGAGAAAGAGTCCAAAGATTTATGTAAAGAACACAACGGTACCATCACGACCGTCGCTGGTTTCCTGCAGAGCCTCGGTTTGGAGCATCTGCTCGAGCTGTTCGAACGCGAGCAAATCACTTTGGACATATTGGCGGAAATGGGTCACGAGGATTTGAAGCAAGTCGGAGTGTCGGCTTACGGCTATAGACACAAGTTAATCAAAGGCATGGATAAGCTGCTGAATACAGCGGCGGGCTCGCTCTGGCAGCCCTCCATTAATCCGGGGACGTTATTAGTAGACTTATTAGCGGAAGACAAAGAATTTTTAGCTGTCGAAGAGGAGATGCAAAGTACCATTAGGCAACATAGGGATAACGGTCATTCTGGTGGTATCTTCTCTCGATACAATATAGTTAGAGTACGTAATATTTAACATTTATCAGAAGTAACACATAAAACTCGGTATTTACTTTTATCGACAGTTTTGAAAATTGAAAATGTTTTATGCAGATACAAAAGGTTCAGAATCGCAAGTTGTGGGAGCGCTATGCTCACAGAAGGCAAGAAGTAGCCGAAGAAGTCGGTGCTGCCGCACCCGCTTCTCCTAGTACCGGACCAAGGGGCACTCCGAGTTCGACGGTGTCACAGGCGAACGAGAGAATGTTGTTCCACGGCAGTCCGTTTATCAATGCCATTGTTCAGAAGGGCTTCGACGAGCGGCACGCGTACATCGGCGGAATGTTCGGCGCCGGCATATATTTCGCGGAGCACAGCAGCAAGAGCAATCAATACGTGTACGGTATATGCGGCGGTACCGGATGCCCCGCGCATAAAGACCGAAGCTGTTACATTTGCCACAGGTAGGCGGAAGGAAATTAAATATTCATAAGAAGTAAAGACTTTCTCCAAGACGTTTCTAAAAGATTAAAAATTTATCGATAGCTTTCACCATTAATATATACATTAAATTTATCGATCGCGCTTCTCTATTCCCTTTTTATTCCCCTTTCTTCATTTCTAAAAGTATTAACTTATTCTCTGCTATTTTCAAAACATTTCTGTTTACAATTTTTTTTTTTTTTAGACACTTACTGCTCTGTAGAGTTACGCTCGGCAAGTCGTTTCTACAATTTTCGGCAATGAAAATGGCACATGCCCCGCCCGGTCATCATAGCGTAATGGGCAGGCCGTCGCAGGGCGGTCTGGTGTTCCCCGAATACGTTGTCTACAGGGGCGAGCAGGCATATCCGGAGTATCTCATCACGTACCAAATCGCGAGGCCACAGCAGGAAAGCGGCGGCAGCGACGGCGTTGAGGAACGGTGATCGGAAGAGCCGGGCCCCGCGGCGCGATTACGCAGCCTCTGCTGCTGTCAGAGGCCGAGGGCATGCGGCGCATTGTCGCGGACATAGAAATTGAAAACTGTTTCGAGATTCGTCTAGATAACATCAGTTCTTCCATTTTTAACTGACTAAAAGAGAATTTGCGAAAGTAACGGTGTGTATGTGTGCGTGTCATGTGTGATCGAAATATGCAGAATATTTTATTCCAAAATAATATCCAGTCTTACTGAAAAGGAAAATGACCATTGTAATAGCTTATTTCTAGCATTTAAATCCGATATTCGAGAGCAATCTAATTCCGTCAGATGATGGAAAGAGATGTATATTAATTGTGATGTATATATTAATACAAAAAACAGTGTGCGTCTCTTACATCAAATTTGATATGTCGACTAGAGCGTGTTGCTAGGATTAGTCAGTATTAAAGGAAGTTACAATTAACGCTCGTATACATTTGTATACGTATGAAAAAGATTAATACATGCTTCAATTTGAAAAGAGGTAAAGGCGAAAGCAAATTTCGATCTTGAAAGTTATACAAAATCATCGAAGGAAGGATGTAATTTACTCACCGTCTCTCACGAACATATAGTAGTAGCTTGTATAAATTAAATTTATCTATTTCATATGTACATTATAGGTAAAGTCTGCAATGTGATGAAATATATATATTTATATGTACAAACGTAAATGTTTTTTTTTTCTAATACGGAATAATATATTTTACAATTATTATATTTTTCTACATTATGAATGATTTTATGGTTGCATCTTGATAACCGTAACTCTGCTGAGAGAAGTACATTTGTATTATACGCATTACTTTTCATGTGGTACACGAAGTTTTTTTTTTATTTAATTATTGATGCAAATAAAGATCTTTTGCATTTCGGACTTTACTTGCAATGTGTATAAGCTTGTAACTTCGGTATTACAATATGTAAATAATTTAATTACCTACTCCCTTATAGTTCGTAAACATAATCAATGGGGTTCCTATAATTCGATAGCTTTCAAACACTGTATAGTCTTTTTTTACCAAGATGATATAATAGCTATTTTATTAATGTCTATCTGTTTTCGGGAAAGGAAGATATTCGGGAGATGTTGACGAATCGCTAGTGAAAAAAGAAATTTGTATGTATTCTCGACACTAAGTGACACATAGCTGCAAACTATTATGACAGTGATTGAATTATTTATGAATGAAGTACTAAATGTATAGTTGAATTAATTTGATTTCGGAATACGTAATGCCGTTCGAAGGATAACTTTGTTTCTAAGCGAACGGAAGATATCGAAGACACTTTTCTGATCTCATTAAAAACGCCGTCTTTAGCGCGTCCTCGTTCGTGACACTTTTAAAATTATTTCGTCATAGTTATAAAAAGAAAAAACTATGCAAATATATATATTATATGTATTATATATATTATGTATATTATATATTATATATATAATATACATAATGTAATATATATAAAATATTATATATATTATACATATATTTGCAAATTATATATAAGAATACTACGACTGTGTGTAGATAGCGGAAAATGAACACCATTTACAATCACAATTGCTATAGTCTTAACACTTATTCTCGGTGATGGTGATCTTTTTTTTCTGTGTTTTTATTTAGGATGTTCACTTTAAGCCAAGTGCTACCGATTGTCTGTGACCGCGCTAGACATGGACTAGCAGCCAATGACTTCTCCGCGCTGTTGTATCTGCTCTAAAGCTGATTACAATATTTTCATGTAAGGCAGGTACACGGCGTAGTCGGAGTAATACTGAAGTGCATACATATTACCACTGTGTTCTAATTGTAAGAGAACGAGAGACTTATAAAAAAAATGAACAATGATCTTCTTTAATTGTTGATACGTGAGTTGTCTTCTCTCTTTTTTTTTCTTTTTGTTTCTTCCCCTTGCTAGAACGTAGAGGTAATACACGCGAAAGAAACACACATCCTCCTTTTCCTCCGCATTTTAAATTATTTGTCTTCGCTTGCTCGAGAACTCGGGCCTACAACGCCGATATTTGCGCCAATTGTGAAAATCTCGTTTTAGCTCGCGGACCGTACGATCAGAAGGCCGATGCTTGCCGGCACGCAATTTTCCAATGGATCTCGTTAAAACACAAGTGACTCTAACCGCGCGTGTATCGCAATGTAGGATTTATAAAAGCAATTCCGTAAACAGTATTATATTTAATCCTCAAGTTCATGTCTTTGCGCGCGTATTCCCCGGCTGTCTGTCTGTCTGTCTACTTCTTTTTCAGTGTGTGGATTTTTTATAACCCACGGAGTCACAACATCACGACTTCACGCTTTAAGTCGTCCATATACTTGTTACAAGCCGTCGCTCATATTATGTTGCATCATTCGCGGAAATTTTTCGATTTCACAATTTATACATAGAGGTATACGTGCGCAAACGCTGTGAGAATATACCAACGATTTTAATCGCTAATATGCATTGATGTAACGACAAATCCGATTACATTATACGCTCCGTTATACAGCAGATAAATTATTAAAGCGCGCGTGCACACAGGCGATGCACATTTATGGTATACGTTCGCGCGTGGAACAGAAAAGATACCAACGCTCGTGCTTATCATTTACTCGTTAAATTACTCCATTTTTTTTGCGTTATCAGTTCCTAAGCATCTATAAATCAAAATATCTCTTACAAATGAATGAAAGCATGGGGGACACTTCACGTCGCACAAAGTCCCTTTTTTTTTTTAATAAATTAATTTTATTCTTAGAATTTTTTCATGATAAAATAAAGTTGATGTAGGAGGGATTAGCCAGTCGCGGAATGCACTTTGCTGTTAATGAATATGCGTTATTATAATTTATAATCGATGCAACACGTACCACGCACCACGTAATACGTCTGAGCGTGTCACGTCGGGAACAATTTGCATAAGAATATCCGATCGCGGCGGCGCGACACGTGCTTTCGGCGTGCAACAGCTGCGAATATCTTTTTTTCTTCTTTGATTACGAGCGAGGAGGTGTCCTTACGGAAAGTCGTACGCATTTTTTCGCACGATTAGCGCAACGCTAAGCACTAAACTGTAAAAGGGTATCGTTTCGCATTTTTTCAACGATATCGAGGATATCGCTCGGAGCAAAAACAAGTCTCGGCTGATATACATAAGTACATATGTATGTCGTCTCAGACGGGAATTCACAAAAATTAAATTGCGGCGACCGTCACACGCTTCCGTTCGTGTGTATCTTCCTCGAGAGCACACACGGAAAATTACACGCGTCGGATGTTTTAGAAATTGTGTTAATGTGACCCGCGTGCACGTGTCGCGCATATAGTATATCGTTCGATGAATCGACACATTTTGATCAATGGCATCAAGTGACCACTTTAATCTTCTCTCGCGAGATATATCTTTTTTACTCGTTTATCTCCGCGTCCCACTGGAGGCGGAAAAAATGCGAAAGGAGAGAAAAAAAAACCGACGTTGCAGATTGTAATATTATTTTCAGCGCGGCTTGTTTACTCATTATCGCTTATGCGACTTCTCTGCTATAATTGCAAAGCATTGTGTGTCGCGAAGGCGGAGCGGCATGCGCACCGCGAAACCGTTTAAAAAAAAAAATCGAAACGCAAATATTAATATTGTCATTTTCGCGAAATTTCGATAATGTTGTAAAAAGAGAAAGAGAGAGACGAACAAAAAAATGACTATTGCATCTGATAATCGGCTCGGCTGTTTAACGCTAAAAATACATAAACGCGCCAGTCATCGTATCCAGCTCAGTCCGGTGCGTCAGCGACACCTGTTTTATCACGCCACGCATGCTACTTTGTACCGAGCGCATTATTAATGTATGCGTAGGTACGCATGCAAGCACTATACTCTCTCGCATCGCGCGCTGCACGGTAAGTTCCGCGGAAGCACGTCGAGGGGAACTTCGGCCGTGTATCTTAGGCGCCGGCCTAAGTTACACGTGCGGGCTCTCGAGTAGGTCGACTCCGGCCGCTCCGGCGCCAAGTTGCAGCGAGCACGTGCACCGCGTCTGACACTGCCGGGGCGACGGGAGAAGAAGGTGGGCGGAGGGGAGAGAGGGAAGGCCCGCGGCAAACATAGAGATTGGAGTAATTCTTTTCCCTTTAAAAAAAAAAAAGTCACGCAAGCCGACGCGGCGCGGCGTGGCGCGGCGCGTCGGGATCGCGCGTCCCCCCCCCTCCCCGCGTCGCGCGGAGGCGAAGGACCACGGCGACGCGACACGAGAGAGAATCGGCCGATCGGACGATCGAGCGATTCTCTCTCGTGGGTCCCGACAAGTAGTCAAGGCGGCTGCAGGGCAGGAATGCGCACGGGGAGCACGCGGCACCCGCGCGGCTCCAATTCGTGCACGCGCCGCGATCACGTGAACGTCACGCGAAGCGCGGACGGGCGCGCAGGCGCGACGCTCGCCGCCGCGCCGGCCGGTTCGCGGTTCGCGGCCGCGTTCAAACGCGTGTCGAACGTGGTGTAACGTGGAACGGTACCCGGGTACCGCGCGCGATCATCGGCGCGCCGGCCGAGCCGAGAGACATATTTTTCTCTCTCTCTCTCCTCCTCTTTCTTTCTCTCTTTCTCTCTCTCTCTCTCCCCCTCTTTCTTTCTCTCTTTCTCTCTCTCTTTTCTCTTTCCCTGTCCTTTCCCCTTTCATCCGCATATGATATCGCGGATCTCGCGACTCGTTCGAGGAACGTCCGATTGTCGTGGTACAGCGACGGTGAGATAAGACTGCCGCTGTCGGTGGTGCGCGTCGGAGTCGGTGATAGACACGCGAGCGATGCGCTGCACAGCGGTCATTATCACGTGAGGAGGAAAGAACTGTCCGGCCGTTCCCCGCCGGTCCTCCGAACGCGATCGGCGTTTTTTTTTTACAAGGACACCTCTGTTTATCATATAATACCCCGTGCATAATGGATTCTCAATTCGTGATAGTACCCAACTAATGTCACGTACAATCGTATTACGAGAGAGAAATTATCTCTCCTGGAAACGCAACTGTAATTGACAATTTGATCCCGAAGTTTCGCGGAGCAATTAAGAGGATACCGCGTGAAGAAGGAAGGAAGGAAGACGTCGTCGGTGTCGTCGAGAAAGCGGAGCGGCGAGCCCGTGAGAGTTATTTAAATCCGCTCCTCGTCGCGTCTGAGGAGCCTGTCGTTACTGCGAGAAACTAGTAAGTAACATGTTACACTCAATTTTCTGTCGGTTCGCCGACATTGTACGCATGGGCGGTTAAATCCTCAGGCCTCTCTCGCGAAATAGATCGATTCGACCGTGAACTTTAAATTCGCAAATGTGCACTTACTACCAATTATTAATTTAAGTTTAATAATTAGTTGAAGAAAGCTTTGTCGCATGTTCTTTTTATTTAAACACAGACTTTTATTCTCAATGTGCGAAAAGTGTAAAACACGAAAGAAGTTTGATTTTTCTTTTATTGTTCTACCTCTCACTTGACTCCCTTTTTAGACAAGTTTAAAAATAGTATTCTTGTAGCAATCTTATCAGTTAAACTTGCACTTGATAGATAAAATTATCATTTATTAGTTTGAACAGCGCTTTCGCACTTCTTATTTTTTCTAACTTTAATTTGTTTAATTACTACAACAACTTTTTTACTGTATTATGACATCATAAAATATAATTCTTGTATTATAACATTTTTATAAATTTCATTTGAAAGCAAAACAACATTTATATATTTGATAAAATAAAAACTATAAGTAACTCGTAATAACAATTTAATTCAATAACAATGATTTAATTGGCAATTAATTGAATAATTGCAAGCGATTTTCGCAACTTTTGCAAGTGAATCGTGACATTCACAAGGGCAGACTTTTTTATACCGAAATCGTTAATTTATTCTTTTCAATCTTTAATGCAAGCATGACAGTGCTATATATTTTTATATTTACACACACACACACACACACGTGCTCAGACACACATTTATTTTATATGCATATCATGTATATTACATATACATATGCATCAAATATATATATAACTCATGTACTTAATTTTAACTACAATAGTAACTAAAACAGTTTCGACTTGGCACTTGACATTCACGAAATTTTCCATTCTCCGTTTTGTATCTCAAAGAGAGAACAAATAATGCACTGCAATATTTTCAAAACTTGATACATGCATTATCATGTTTGATGTCTGAAGGATATACATGTGCGAAAATTCGGTATCATTATGATAAGCTTGAATTTCATTGATACAATGTGAAAATGATCCTCTGATTTATCTCAAAATAAAAATACGGGAGATTGTGGCGTGAAATACGATTTCCCGTGCTTGTGACATGAAGAGAACGTGACACGTATTAGAAATCTTATCGAAATTAATCCCGGTTTCAAGCGTACGCTGCAAACGCGCGACGCAGTAGTTGCGAACGCATTGAACGGACTCTGCTGCTCCGAAACCGCGTCTGCAACAAGTCTGGACGTTCCCCTTGCAGCTGCTGCAAGTAAGGAGTAACCGCGTATTTCTTGCGGGTATCTCGTGGGCATCTATATATGCAAAAGATGTTTGTTTATGTTTGACACTTCATTGTTAGCTCTCTCTAATTTCGACGATACTGAATCTAAGTACGAGTACATAGAATGAAGATTAGATAGGATCACATTCGGATTGCGCGCGCGCGTGATGAGGACAAATAATTCGTGTTTTCAGAACTGTTCGGCTTTAATGTGATTTAATTTTAATTGAAGCTTTATATTTAAACGAATTTAAATTTAGCAAAAAGCTGTCAATAGAAATTTTATTATTTTTCTTTTTTTTTCACAAGTTAGATTTCAGTTTTCGACTTTAATGCAGAGATTTAATTTTAATTGAAGCTTTACATTTAGACGATTTTAAATTTAGGAGAAAGCTGTCAATAAAAATTTTATTATTTTTCTTTTTTTTACAAGTTAGATTTCAGTAGAGATTTCATTCTTGAGCGAAAAAAGCACGTGTTCGACGTACGTGAGAATAAATGCAAAATTCAGATTGTATTCCGACCTAATAGACATGGTTCTGACAATGGAAAATGCCAAGAACAAGTTTCTTTGTGATGATCTATAAATGAACTCTTGTTCCCTTCTTATCGATATGGTATTTCTGTTTTGTAAAAAATATAATTGTACCACATCAATCATAATCTTGTTACATATTTCAACGCGAAACCAGCTTATGGAAAGATTAGAACTGGAACAAAAGATAATATCTAAGCCTCAACATGTCAAGTAATATATATGTATACATAATTAATTATTTATGCGCGATTTCGAAGTTTATTTAAAACGGGCCGAGTAAAACGCCTTTACGGCATTATCGTTTCGCGAAGGGGATTCTTTGTTTACAAACAAGATCCAAGATAACTTCCTTGACAAGTGCATAATTTACGTATATGTTATATATTATGTCGTATCATTACCAAATTAGCCCGTCCGTGTTAACCAAATCTATTTTTACTCCACGAACGTCACGAACGCGTTGATTAGCGATATATATTTAACTAACGGAATTTTGTTTCGCAATTAATCAGCAAACTGCATCGAAAAATTAATTCAAACGAATGTGACAAAATTCTGTAATTAGTCATTTACCAATGATGTGCGACTGAGTGACATTTTGTTCCATCTTTCATTTTCCCAATTTTAATAATTCATTATTTCATTAATTAAACGTTCAACAACAGAACAATAATAGAGCAAAATGGTTTCTTAATAAATGGATAGTGCTCGAGAAATGATTCGTGAAAATCTCTTGTATCGGATCTTTTCAGAAAAATATGGAACTAGCGTAGGTCGCCGAGATATTCTCTCGGAACCAGCTTGACGACTTCCTAGACGGCATTCACGCGTCGTGTACAGTCGTTTCGTTCTCGTACGAAAGTCGGAATTTTTCTCGATTAACCGACCCTCGAACACACCTACGTGATATCCTATAATGGTGCGGAGCGAAGCACTAGTTTCCGGGGAAAGTCCGAGGTCGATTGTCGCGATCTTTCCGATTAGGGGTGCACCGGGAAATGACCGGGGATATCCCGTGGGAAATTAAAACACTTCTGAAAAGCTAGGTATTCAAGTAGCAAAAATTTGAATTTACGCGAATCCATCTCGCGCGGGAATAAATGTATATCTTATATCTCGTATAGTAACGTAAATGCAAACGTGCTCCGTTTCTTACGTAACACGCGACGCGTGGGTTAATGAGCAAGTTACGGATATCTGAGAAAGCGAAGGAAAGTTTAGACACAACGGATAATGAATAAATACCGATACCTTATCTGCGTCTACCAAACCGTCTACTGATTTCACGTATCGTAGTTTAAATAAAAAAAAAGAGACGAAGTAAGCTTGTAGAGCCACGTGATTCTCGAATGATATTACATCAGATATCACGGAAAAACGTTTAAGACGCCACAGTTTAATTAAGTAGACGTGAATGTAACTTTGATACTTGAGACTCATTGACTTCTCTCGTTCCTTCTACGTACGGTGAGCGTAAAGGATGTTTTCTTTATCGCATTAAAATACATTAATTCATTATTATTTAGATTTAATTCTTATGTATTAATTAATTCATATCCAATCATTATTAGGCAATTCATTTGCTTTTCTGAGGTTGCTTATCTTATTTATTTATTGTTAAAATGAGCAATTTGCAGAAAATACATATTATCTGTCATTTACATAAAAATAAAAATTATATATATTAATTGAACGTTACATTAAATAGCGAATATTGAATATTGAATTATGAAATTAGACATTCAACATTTTTTAATTTTAATATATTTATGAAAAAAAAAAGATAATATTTAGACCACCTTTATTACAATCAACTTCTAAAATTATTATATTTAATAAAAGAAATTTATTAACTTTATATCTCTCTGAATTAATCTTCGAAAATCAAGTAAGTCTTAAATTATGCACAAACTATTAAATTATAAGATTATTTGTATCGCATAATATAGTAAAAAAAAAACACACTGAGAAAAAACCGTATAAAATTTCTAATAAAATAATTTCTCTATGTTTCCGTTTGAAGAGTAAGTCAATGTGCCTCTGATACTACTATGCATATTTAGTGATAACGTGTGTGCGTTAAAAGCGTGCCGTAGCGTATCTCCACGCTCGGTCTAACGTCGCGTGGTTTTGGCGACGAGTTAAACTTTGCTCGGTAAGATTCCGCGATCGGCCACAACGCGAGGGCGTTAGAGCCAAGTGAGAAGGAGAAAGAGAGAGCAGCGAGGATATGTGTATGTCGGTTATCACTACTGCTTCGAACCAGAATACCGGGGGCGATAAGGCCGGGAGGGTTCGACCTCAACGGCGCCTCCGTCGGAGCGAAAAAAAAAGGAAAAAAAAGGAGAAATACTGCTGGGTACAGGATTCGGAGTCGTTCGATACCGAAAGTATCTGCAAATACGGTTCGTCGAGTGGCGCTTAATACGATCTTTCCCACGTGCTCGTCGCGTGGATGTCTGGTGACATGCAGCAGCGATTGGAAATTAGAACATTCCTATCGATAGTTCCGTTGAACTTTACAACCAGTTTAACTTGAATTTCGTTCTCAATTTCCGCATGCATCCAGATTGCGAAAATATGACTTTATACGAATTTTTTATATTACCTATATGTATTTGGTCGAGAAAGCAAATCGAGGTATTAAAAACAAAAAAAACTGGATAAGCGAAATTTCGAAAAAAAAATCCAATTAAGTAACTGATACAATAATATAAGACAATAAGTTTATAATTATAATATAATAATCGACAATCACTTGGCCACGCGTGCGCTCGCGAGCGTTTTTTCAGATCAGTCTAAAAAAAAAAAGACTGTAAAAAGTAAAGTATTAACCTTTAAACCGCTATATCGGTTTCACAGACCGCTATTGAAACGTTACTTGTCAACAATTTTCTTATTTGCCATCATTTAAATATATTTTATTTCTATTGTATACAAAATTTTTTTGTTAACCCTCACATTAAAACGTAGTTTTCCTTCTCTCCATCAACAAGTATTCAGAAAACATACATTTTTATTATAATTAATTTATAAAATTAGCGGAAGCATAATAGCGGTCTGTTAGACCGACATTGTGTTTAGTGTAATTTTTTGAGCCTGGTGGTTTAAAGATTAAAAAGAGCAAGAAATGCCAATCTTA